CAGTTCTTTCTTGGCTTATTAAATGATCTATGGCCCTTTAAATGTGCCTGAGAGTGGGGTTATTGGGTTGCTGTTATAGAATCATAGAATTGTAGAGTTGGAAGGGAACCCCAGGATCACCTAGTCCAGGGGTCTGCAATCCAGGAATCTCAGCTAAAGCATCCAAGACAGTTGATCATCCAACCTCTGCTTAAAAACCTCAGATGGAGAGCCCACCACCTCTCATGGGAGTCCAATCCCTTGTCAAACAACTCTTACTGTCAGAAAATCCTTCCTGCTGTTTAGTCACAATCTCCTTTCCTGAACTTGAAGCCATTGGTTCAGGTCCCACCCTTCAAAGCAGGAGAAAACAAGCTTGCTCCCAGGGGCGGAGGAAGGGGGGTGCGGTGGGTGCAGGCTGCCCCGGGTGTCACCACTGAGGGGGGGTGACAAAATGCCGGTCGGCACTCACTACGGGGCCTGCAGTGCACCTGAGCCACGTGTCTCTCCTGGGAGAGAAGCGGTGGCTTGGGAGCGCGGGCTGTCTCTGCGCTGCCCAAACGGTCCGCCTGCTGCCTCCCCCCCAGCTGAATGTGAGGAGGCAGGCAGACTCCAGAGGCTCCACGGTAAGCCCCGCCCCATGGGCAGATCGCCCTGCTCTCGCCCCACCCCTATGGGCAGCTTGCCCTGCCCTGGGCACGCCGCCCCAGGCCCCCGAGCTGTTTCCTCCACCGCTGCTTGCTCAATTTCCCATGTTTCAGTCTTTTAGATATTTGAAGATGACTATTGCATCTCCTCTCAGTCTCCTCTTTACCAGGCTAAACATAACCAATTCTCTCAACTGTTCTTCATAAGGCTTGGTTTCCAGATCCTTGATCATCTTGTTGTTGTGTTATATATTTTGTGTTTTTATACTGTAAACTGCCCTGTGTTCTTCAGATGAAGGGCAGTATATAAAATTTAATAATAATAATAATAATAATAATAATAATAATAATAATTCAAACTACAGTGGTACCTCCGGTTATGTACTTAATTCGTTCCGGAGGTCCGTTCTTAACCTGAAACTGTTCTTAACCTGAAGCATCACTTTAGCTAATGGGGCCTCCCGCTGCTGCCGCGCCGCTGCTGCAAGATTTCTGTTCTCCTCCTGAAGCAAAGTTCTTAACCTGAGGTAATATTTCTGGGTTAGCGGAGTCTGTAACCTGAAGCATATGTAAACTGAAGTGTATGTAACCTGAAGTACCACTGTACTCACATGATACATACAGTGTCAGTCCAGGGCATTATTGGGAAATAAAAACAGGTGGACCCGGCTGCTCAGAGTGCTGCCCACCACTGCCACCACCAGAGGTGCTCCACCCTCAAAGCTGGAGCTGATCTTGGAGAAAACTGTGGAAAGAAAAGGCAGCCTGAACCTTGCTTGTTGTCTCTCTCTTTAGTAATTTGCCTATGAAAACAAGTCCACTCAGGAAATCTAATGATTCTTGTACAAGGGTGTGTGGGTGTGGGTGGGTGTTTGTGTAAGGGACACACAAATACCCATTTACATATAAATATATATTATGCTTCCTTCAACGGCCCAGAAGATATGTACATGTTATACTAATTCTGACATGGTAGAAACACAAGATCTGTGCTTATGCTGTGTAGAAGTATACATGAGCATCGCAAGTTGTGATTCATTTCAGAAATAATCTAGTTTTTTAACAAACAGGCAAGGGGGTGGCCTCTCTTCTGCATTTCTGAACCACAGTTCTCTCCACCACAGTAGTAAAATGAATATGTTAAAATGCAGATTATGCACTACTATTCAAAAATTACCAGTCATAGAATAAATATGTTTTTGGATAAGAACATATTTTAAAGCTGCAATCCTATATGCAGTTATGTGGGAATAAGCTCCATTGGATTCAGTAGAACTTACTTCTGAGTAGACATGCATAAGCTTGTGCTTGGAAACACCTCATAGATTGAATCACAGCCCTGTAATGCCTCTGAATGAAAAGAGATAGAGACCATGCTGCTACATATTGATTCTTCAACAGACAGTGTTGTTTAAACATCATCAATTCAGTTTGTCTCCAGTGCTGAAGATCAATACATCAGACAACTCAGTAAAATGTGCTGCAAATTACTTTAACTCCTGTATATGAAGCTTGCCTTTTATTGCTGTTTGTTCCTCAATGTTTATTTTTTAAATGATTTTCTCCATTAACTAGCGCAGTTTAGTATTCTCAGCTGCAGAATTACAGGCCTGAGAGGCTTGTTTGTGCAATCTTTCCCAGTCCCTATTTGTTCTATATATGTGATCCATAGTGCAATGAGCACGTTTACTCAGATGCAAGTCCCACTTTTTTTAATAGGGCTTATTTCCCATGTAAGTGTGAAATATTGCAACATGATAGTGTAATCCTATGCATGATTACCAAGAAGTAATCCTACTATGTTCAGTGGGCCTTACTCCCAGGTCTGAAAGTAAGCCTAAGTGCCTTTATGGACACCTACCTGGGAATAAGCCTCACTGAACATGAGACTTACAGATGTGAATATCAGTATATGCCCCATTAGGAAGAGAGCTGGATCACTGAATCCTTGGCATATGTCCCTTCATTTCCCTCTAAACCCCTCCCGCTCTGTTAAATGGGGGTATTTCCCTAAATCAGAGGTTTGCAATGAATACAAGAAAGATAGTAAAACATTTTGCAAACTTGAAAAGATTGCTACACAAATGTGCAGCAGTGACAGCCTCTCCCCCAAGATGTTCTGCTCAATTAGTTACTGCTAAAATAATACTTAAATGGACAGACCTGGAAAAGTTCAGATGCCTTTGTGCCAGAACACGTAACAATTTGGTGCTGTTGCCTAGTAGATTTTCTTTTTAAAAAATCTTTATTGGAATTTGTAATGCTAGCTCTGTGGGTTGCTTTCATATGTTGACTAATTGGTAGTCTGCCATTTCATCCTGAAGTTGTAAGATGTCATGCCACGAGCTGAATAGGTCATGACAAGTCATGATTTGACCTTCTGATGAGTCAGCCACTCAGTAATCTTGAATGCCTGTGCCTCTTATATGTGCCATATAGTATTTAACTTACTACCACCCCCTTCTTTTTAAAAAATGCTGTATCTCACTAGTACATCTTAGAGTCTATCAGTAAACATCACCCCACCTTTACAACCCCCACCTATGATCCCCCTGAAGCAAGCGCACACTGTTTGTCCCATTAAGGCTACTTAAATCCCACTGAAGTCCTGAACAGCCCCAGTCAACCCTGCCCACCCCCATTTTTATGTTTGAGTAAAAATGCTCTGGATCAGACTTGGGCCTAAAACTTGCCAAAGTCCCATATTAAATTCCCCCACAACTGGGAACATGGTGGCAGCTTCTTTTCCTGTGATAACGGGTGAGGAGGAAAAGATTTCTCTGAGCATATTGTCTGCATAGAGGAGGGCTGGTTAATATATATAGCCTTTAATCTATGTCTGGTAGACCTGTAGATGGTGTTTAGTGAAAAAGGTTTGCAATGAAATATGTCAGTTCATTTGTGTAAATTGTGTAAATCTACCATTTAAAATTCTTTTTTGGGGGAGGGTTGTTGCATTCCATACCTACAATATACATTACCATGATCTTATTTATGTCCTGTAATGAGGGGTACTCTCATTTTTACTCAATAAAATCACCATTTTATGGTTCAAATCAAGAAAAATACAGTAAATGGAGAAAAGTACAAAGATTCACGAAATGCTTAGGGGTATGCGACCGTACCCGTGTCCCCCCAGAAAAAAGCACTGCCTATAATACACTACAAATTTTCACATACAGCCAAGACGTTTGCAGTTTATTTCAGGGTTATTAATGTTTAGTATTAAATGATGGATATAAAAACCAGCCCACTACATGCTCTTTTGACCCTCGCCCACCATGGCTTATTTGTGCCAGCTGGGAGTGGGGAGTTAACTGCGCGTGTGTCTAGGGAGTGGTAGTGCGATCATTTTCTGCTTGTTTGATATCTCAATGGCTTTTGATACTGTCGACCATGGTATCCTCCCTTTCATTTGTTTTCCAGTGGTTCCATTCCTATGTATGGGGCCAGGTTCAACACATTGGGTGGGGCTATGTGCACATCTCCTGTATGCTGGCCATCGTTTGAAGAGAGGTGGGATGAGGTATCATGTTCATGACAACCAGGTCTGCTTCTCTGTTATATCTAAATGGGTAGACGCCATGGCTCTTTTGAACTGATGCTTGGATGCAATGGTGTGCTGGATGGAGCCCACAGGTGAGATGGAATCCTGATAAGATCAAGACTTTGTAGGTGAGTGGTTCCCAGGTTTGAGGAGTGCCTGTTAGCAACTTAGATTGATACTCCAACTACAGTATATGCTTTCCTGATCAGGGATAGCTTGGCTACTGTGACTCGTGTTGATAACAATCTCATGAAAAACTTATGCACTTAATGTGGGGCTTCCCTTGAGGTTGCCTGGAAGCTGTAGCTAGTGCAGAACACACCTGCTGCTAGTTAGTTGAGTAGAGTACCTTGGCATGCACATACAGTCATATCTCTTCTTGCGAACGCTTCATGTGGCATTTTTTCAGGTTAAAAACGCGGCAAACACGTCACTCTGATTATGGACTTTTCGGTATGCGAACAGCACCCTGGAACGGATCCTGTCTTTTCCTTCAAAATGATAGTAAGATTTCCCCGCACACTGTGTCCATGAACTCCCTGCCCTTCCTTTGTTTAACTGGGCCCATCCAATTTCATTCCACTGGGACCCTGCAACCACCACTGGGAACAGTGTGTGGCAAATATTTTGCAAGAGATGTAAAAGATGAAAGCTCACTCATTCCCAAAACAGGAGTAATGGCGAGAATAGAGCCATAACAGAAATGGTCTGGGCATGATCACTACATGTCCATGACATGTTTGTTGTTTTGGGGGAAGCAAACTTTCTCTCTCGCTTCCTTAAAAACCAAAACCAAAAAAAACAACAACCTGGCTTCCCTCCTGCCCTATACGAACAGGGCGAAAGCGGCCGCCAGAAGGCCGGGCATCTGCAAAAGCGGCAGCGGCAGCAGTAGCGCGGCGGCCGCTCGAGGGCTCTGCCCGAGCGCACGCGGCCAGCCTCTCCGCCCCTCTCGGCGCTCGCAGGTGAAAGCGGCGCCTGCCTGACGCGCTCGGGCGGCGTTTCCGGGTGGCGAGCCAGACGCTCTCGGGCGGCCCGGCAGCATGAGCGGCTCCGAGGCGGCGAGGCAGCTGGAGCTGCTCGGCGGCCTCAAAGACCAAGGTAAGCCGCGCAGGACGAGGGCGAGGACCGGGGGGCCCATTGCACCGGCCGGCCGCTCCTCCTGCAGCGCCTGGGCGCGAAGCCGCAAGAGGCTCGGGGAGCGGCTGGCGCGCCGCTGCCGAAACAAAAAGCACCCGGGCGACCTGAGCGACGCTTGGCCGCCCGCCTAGCGAGGACCCCCTCTGTGGGCGGGAGGTCGTGCCGCGCTGCGCTGCCCTGGACCAGGGACGCCCCGCCGCCCAGTGTCAAAGGCAGCAGCCAGACGGCGAGACGCAGGGTGGCGGGGGCGAGGGGAGGGGACGCCGCGCGCGCGCGCGCTCCTCGCTCGTGAGCTCCGGCAACCGAATCCGCCCCGCATTGGAGCTGGTAGGGAAATGGGTCCCCCTCCCCGGGGAAGCGCTTGCTAATAGGGCTGGCGTCTCTGAACCCCGAGGCCTGGAGGCAGCTCTTCCACCCGCTCCACACACACACACACACCCAACCGGATTCGGAAGATTTCCCGTTTGCCTCCTTGTTTCTCCCTGCAGGAAAATGTTGGCAATCCCCTCTCCTCGGTTGCCGGGTAAATCGGGCGGGTTTGATTATTTAATCGGCTTGCGCCACCTCCTCCCATCGGCTGCAAAGGCTTATTGTTTTCTTATCCACCTGGCGCTGGAAGAGGAAAAGACGATTTGTGGGTTTGGGCGCAAGGGGTGATGAAATCCGTGGCACGTGCCTGGCTTTGTACGTCCCCTCCCCCTTATGAAAGAGCCTTATTCCCCAAAGTGAAACAATCCCTTTTTCCCAGTTGGAAGGGTTCCAAAAAAACAACGTTCGCCTGGTGTTTTTACCTTCCCCGCAGCAAAGCGCAAAACGATTCAGACTAGGGAGTCTCCCCACTAATTGAGCAGAGAGCTGATGCTCATATAGGAAGGCAACTTTGAAATACATGCCTGCTGGTGGTTAAAATTTAACTAACGGAAGCATGGAGTAGTGGTTATAGTACTAGGCTAGGATTAGGGAATCCCAGATTTCTAAATCCCCATTCAGTGATGAAACTCATGGGGTGGCTAACTGCCAGCTAATGCTCTTGCTGCAAGAGCTACCTCACAGGGTTGTTGTGAGGATAAAAGAAGGGAACTGTACATGGGTGTAGGCAGGATTTTTGTTGGGGGGGGCAGGCCTTTTTTTAGCGGGGCCAGAACCTCAGTTTGCTATGTATTTTTATTGATTTAGGGGAGCAGCTGCCCCTCCCTGCCCCCCTTGGCTATGCCCATGGAACTATATGAGGTCCTTGGAGAAAGGGGAAGCTTTAAAATATCTATCATCTAGTAGAATTGGGTGGTGGTCAGCATGCATCCCTGCTTCTTCCATCTATTCTTCCATTGCCTATTCAGGCAGTGTCAGCTCTAGTTTTCAGCTTGTTTTAAACTTCAAGCCATGTTACCAGCCTCCTGTCAGTTCTGTGCATGCTGATGGGACACCCTGGGCAGCTTGTGGCATCTGAAGGTTTTCGGTGTTCATTCAGAACAACCATGGTCATTCAGAACATGGTTGGAAATCATGAGGTGAAAGAGCAGGCTTGCCTTTTCAGGCATTCCCCCAGTGTACGGATATCACAAGGTAGGGCTCGCAGGGGATGTTTGGGTGCCTGCTCTCCCACTCAATGCAGTGATCATAGAATGTCTGAACAGAGTTACTGTTCTAGGCCAAATTGACGTCATAGGTTTGAAATACAGTGGTACCTCTGGTTACGAACTTAATTCGTTCCGGAGGTCCGTTCTTAACCTGAAACCGTTCTTAACCTGAGGTACCACTTTTGCGAATGGGGCTTCCTGCTGCTGCTGCGCGGCCGTGCAATTTCTGTTCTCATCCTGAGGTAAAGTTCTTAACCCGAGGTACTACTTCCGGGTTAGCGGAATCTGTAACCCAAAGTGTTTGTAGCCTGAGATACCACTGTACTATGATGCCACTTTGAACAGTCATGATTTCCCGCAACGAGTTATGGGAGCTACAGTTTGTTAAGGAGAGTCCTCTTCCCCTCATGGAACAACCATTCTCAGAATTCCATGGGAAGAAGGATTGTTAAACTACTCTGGAAGGTTCTGGGAGGGCAAGTAGGAGCCTGCTAACAGCAGCTCTCAGAATTCTTTGAGGGAAGCCATTTAATGTTTAAGGTGGTATCATAATGTGTCAAATGAATAGTGTGAATGTGGCCCTAAGGTACGGTGGTACCTCTGGTTATGAACTTAATTCGTTCTGGAGGGCTATTCTTAACCTGAAACCATTCTTAATCTGAGGTACCACTTTAGCTAATGGGGCCTCCCGCCACCGCCGTGCTGCCACTGCACGATTTCTGTTCTTATCCTGGGGCAAAGTTCTTAACCCGAGGTACTACTTCCAGGTTAGCAGAGTCTGTAACCTGAAGTGTTTGTAACCCGAGGTACCACTGTATAGGGAGTGGCAGGAAAACATTATCAAACACTTGCTGTATTACAGTATTTTACACTTACCAGAGAATCTCAGTGGAGGAAATCATAACCAGGATAGAATGTGGAAAACCTACCCTCCCTTTAAACTTTGGAGTCATCCAATGTCCCCTCAGCTCCAGTCATTATCACGTATTTCTACATGTTCACACATCAGCTGCCCACATTTACTGCTGACATGCATCCCCTGAATGTTGGTTTTTCCATTTTTATTTTTTTTAAAGACAGTTGTGAATATAGAAGTAGCCAAGTATCTAGCCTTCTTTTGTGTGCTGGATACTTCTGACTGTTGACTGGATACTTCTGACTATTAGAGTTTAGTTCCCAGGTCCTTTTGATTTCAGGGAGATGGAGGATGCGAGTCATAAATTCACGGAGAATAAATTAATGGTTGATAGAAGATAAACCACAGACTATTTGTCTCAATGACTATTTGGAACGTTCATGTTCAGAGACAGTATGTCACTGGCATACCATGAATGAGCAGCACGCTGGTGGTAAATAAATCAGGAAACCTTGACTTTATATTGTGTATGAACCATGGTTTATTGCTTCCTATCTATACCCTAAACTGTGGTTTGCTGCAGGCTTATGGAAGTTTGTGTTTCAGGGAGCAACAAACCACAATCTGTGATTTTGACATAATTATGAACACAAAGCTTCCTGATTTGTGCACACTGCTTTTACTAGGAGGAGCAAAGTGAGAGCACTTGAGCAGTTAGTGTCAGCATGCTGCCTGTTCAGGCAAATCAAAGCCTGACTGCTGATTTGGGAATACCTAAATGGCATGGACACTAGTAGCTGCCTTTGCTAGCATTATAGGACAGTGTAGGCCAAGCCTACCCAGATGCTTAGAAAGTTGATGCTGTTTGAGTATTATAACTTTTGTATGCTTTTAAGTGTGGTTATATTTTTGTTTTGCTTTATCTTTTTTGTAAACCATTTGACTTTTTTGTTTTGTTTTTTACAATAAAGCAGTGTATACATGTATGTAAATAAATAAATAAATAAGATTAGCCCTTGTTTCCCCCCGTAAAGAAATGTCTTGTTTCTGGTGGGCCTCCTAGTACTTATTTGGTTGCTGGGATTCTTACAAAGAATGTTGGACTAGTTAAACCTGAATCTAACTGTGCGTGGCAACTTATTGTGTAAATAGCAGTATATTCTTTGGATCAGTTAACCCAGATTACTTTGTGCGTGCCCCAGCAGATCCTATGTAGGCACTTAATGCTTTATAAATTTAAAACACAGATGAATGAGACCTTGTGGCTTCTAGGCCTCACAAGGCTGAAGCTACCTCACTCCTTTTTAAAAAAAACAAAGACCTAAGAGGCTATTTGTACTCTAGCCACAGACTCCTAGGCATGTCTTCTCAGAAGTCAACCCCATTGAATTCAAGGGGATTTAACGTGGGTGGCGCTGTGGTCTAAACCACAGAGCCTTTTGTTGTTGTTTAGTTGTTTAGTCGTGTCCGACTTGGGCTTGCCAATCAGAAAGTCGGCAGTTAAAATCCCTGTGACGGGGTGATCTCCCGTTGCTCGGTCCCTGCTCCTGCCGACCTAGCAGTTTGAAAGCATGTCAAGCAAGTGCAAGTAGATAAATAGGTACCACTCCGGCGGGAAGGTAAATGGCGTTTCTGTGTGCTGCTCTGGTTCGCCAGAAGCGGCTTAGTCATGCTGGCCACATGACCCGGAAGCTGTACGCCGGCTCCTTCGGCCAATAAAGCGAGATGAACGTCGCAACCCCAGAGTCGTCTGCGACTGGACCTAATGGTCAGGGGTCCCTGTACCTTTTTAATTCTGAGAATCTGCATAGGCTTGCAGCCTGAGTCCATGAAGTCTAGCACTTCTGTTAGCCTTTTATACTTCAAGAACTTCTGACTTTTCGCCTCACACTAAGGTTACCTTTATAAATACTTTAGAAAGTGCATCAATAATTAATAGATGTTCTGAATGTGTTGCAGACGAGACATTGTCAGAAGGAACAGTTTAAAGCTGGGCAGAAGACATGGTACAGGAATCATCTTGGGCTCCGTGACAACTGGTTAATCTTTCATGGAAAATGTCTCCACATAATTTGCTAAGCAGCAGGTTAAAGTCTGACTCACTTTTTTATATAAAAGCAGATCACAGAGTGATATCCAGTTGTGTGTCGTGATCAGAGTAGACCCACAGAAATCAATTGACAAGTCCAAGTCGGGCATCACTCATTGGGTTCATAGTGCCTCTATAGTGCTAGAATTACACATGCCTGGCAAAGACTTTTCTATTCTTTAAACATCTTTTAAAAACGTAATCTCAATATTATTTAATTTAGGCTCTTCTAAACTGATAGGGATTACCTGGTTTTAGGTTGTGTCTGGGTGTTTTTGCTCCTTTTGTATGATTAAATTGTTCGATATTTTTCCCTTGACTTGAATATTGGCTGAATTGTTTGTATTTTTTATGGTTTTACTTCTGGTTTTAGATATTAGCGTTGTATGTTGCCCAGAGACCTCTTGTATGAGATAACAAATAAATATAATAACTAAATAAATAGATACCTGCAATTTCTATGCAAGATTGCTTTTAAATGCTGCTTTTATTTGTTATTAGTTTTAGTGTTTCTGTAATTTTGTTGTTGATGTAAAGATCTCCTGGGAACATTTTAAAGGGCAGCTTATAAATGTTATAATAAATAAGCACATGACTTGCAGGTGGACGTGTGAACTGAACCTGCTAAAAAGCATTTTGTTTGTGGTAACAATATCAAAGTTATATGTATACTGTCATAACTGTGACTGTGTGTGTGATGTTGTGTGAACCATCCTACAGTTATGCACTGCTATGCACACCTTGTGGGGAAAATTAGAAATCAGTAATTAAAATTAAGTTGAGGCTATAAAGTCAAAACACCATTGGTGTTGCAGTTACTGAAGATCTAACTTCACCCATGATGTGATTATACCAGCTAGTTTGATTGTGAGAGAACATGAGTTCAGTAATGCAAAATTTCTAAATAAAGGGTATATTCTGCACGAGTAACAAAATGACTGGATATATAGCATCCTAAATGTCTTTTAATTGCTCAGATAATGTCTGTGATGATTCTATGATACTACCTGAACACTCTTTTAAAGTCCTGTATAAATGCTATGTGTTATTCCAGTAAGCAAAGTGATCTTTATTATAGACTTGCAACATGATGTTTGCAGCTGTAAAGTTTATGGATGTGTGAAAGTTAATGAGATGTCTATGAAGAGCACCACCAAGATAACTTTTTATGTATCTTGTTTTTGTAGCTATTGGTGAATATGAAGATCTAAGAGCAGAAAATAAGAAAACAAAAGAAGAGGTTTGTACTTGTTTTCATTTGATATGAAATATTATTGTAACTATTGATTTTGATGGACCTTGGCACAATCAGCATTTCCCCTTACAAATATTTTATCCATATGAGGGAGTATTTGCAGCAACTTCCATAACCATAGTAGTACTTTGGTACCACTGTGATGGTGGAAATTACTGGTATGTATATCTGTGTATCACCAATTTGCTTAGTAATTTTGTCCTTTATTTACTTATTTCATTTATACAATGGATGCTCGGGTTGCGAACGTGATCCGTGCGGGAGGCACATTCGCAACCTGCAGCGCCGCGTCTGCGCACGGGTTGCGATTCGGCGCTTTTACATGCGCAAAGCACGATTTAGCGCTTCTGCGCATGCGTGAGTGGCAAAACCTGGAAGTAACCCATTCCGGTACTTCCAGGTTTGGCACAGTGCGCAACCCGAAAGCACGCAACCTGAAGCTTCTGTAACCCAAGGTATGTACCTGCCTTCCACAAAAGGAGCCCAGAGCAGCAGCACTAAAACAATACTATTTAAAAAGTTCTAAAAACAGTTTTAAAATATTATTTTAAAGCATTCACATTCTCTCAGTCAATGATTTCCTTTTGCCAGATTCAGTGTTGTTCAGTCATCAAATACCTGGCTAAACAAACAGGAATGCTTTTAAATTCCTCTTAAAAGTCAGTAATGAGGGAGACAGATGTACCTCTTCAGGGAGCCACCACTTAGAAGGCCCTGTCATGAGCCAATGCCAACCAGCAGCTCCCAGCAGTGGCACAGTGTATAGTCATACTGTATATGTATGTCCCAGTGGATAACAAGGCCATAAATGTCTACTTAGAAGTAAGCCCCATTAAGTTCAGTGGGACTTTCTCCCAGGTAAGTGTATCTTGGATTGCAGCCATAGATTGAGAACTGCCAAACTTGATATGTTGATATAAGAGAATTCTCGTTGTAGTTTGCTATAGTTGACATTGCCCGTATTCAGTTCAGATAAGAAAATTTCTCATGCAAGTTTTCAGCAGAAACCAGTAACAAAACTACTTCCTTATTTACACAGTAATTTCAGACTGTCACCACCACCACAATGTGCCTCTTAGATCATGATTCCTATCCTAATCCTGGCCTGGATGCAGTTTGCAAGCCAGAACACACATTGCAATCATTTTCTTCTCCTGCCTGTTGGAGGTGCAAAGCAAAAACAAATATCAGGTTTCTTGCAAACCCCTCCCTACCCTCCCACACAAAGAAATGGGTAGAAACCTAGTGCTCATGGTGGTTACTACAGCAAGTGAAACAGTGAACTATGTGGAATGACTCCCATCACCATTCCTCCCCTCCATCTGAACCCAGTGCCCTGGTCTAATTTAGTGGGAAGGTCTGTAGCTCATTGGGAGAACATCTCCTTTGTATGCAGAAGATCCCCAGCATCTGCAGGTAGGCTGGGAAAGACTCCAGTCTTGAAATGTTGCAGAACAACCTTCAGTCAATGTAGACAGTACTGAACTGGATGGGCCATTGGTCTGAATGAGTATAAGGCAGCCTCCAACATTCCATTCCTAAAAGACGGTCTAAAGTTGCTTGTGGATTGGATGACTGTGAATAAATAGAAGCTTAATTTGGACAGGATGAAGAAATAGCTAATGGTGAGTGGTCCCAACACTTGGGGAGTGATGGAAATGCCCGTCCTAAATAGGATCACACTCACCCAGAAGGGGCAGCTTGGGAGTGCTCCTGGTAGATGTCCATGCCAAGACGATGTCCGCAATCACGTTTTATCATATTCTCTTGATTCGTCAACCACATCCCTTCTTAGACGAGAGGCATTTGGCCACTTGTTGAGCATCCTTGGTTTGTAGTCTAAATGTGAAGTGCTATTTCTTTTAAGCTGTGATCCTATACCCACTTTACTGGTAATGAGCTTTGTTGAGCTTAATGGGACTTAAGTGAGTAGACATGTCAAGGATGGCACTGGTTTAGGTCTGGCACCCTTGAGGAAGCATCTTCTCCCATACGTACTCTATTGCCTTTCGAGATCCAGTACTTGATGGGCCATCAGAATATTAACACCCATAAAGCAAGTTTCCCCTGTGGTCTTCCAAAGTTGTGACAGCTGAGGACAGAATTTGAGAGCTCGTCTTTTTTAGATCAGTTTAAATATTTTTCTTTCTTTTTAAACAGGCTTTAAGTTAATGTGACTTGATACTATTGAGGCTTTTATTGCTGCTGTTGGGTTTTTCCATTTACTGTTTTTGTGATTGCCTTTATTGTGTTGTGAAACTTGTACTGAAAGGTGGGCAATTAATCTTCTAAATGAACAATTGTTTGACCAACAATGTCAGTAGGTGAATCTTGCTGTGCTCCCCCTTGCCTTTACTGATGCATTGTGGCTGGTGCTTTCCAGGGTTGTGGGTTTTGTCATCGCGGCTTCCTAATTCATAATAATTCTGTTTCCTGTACTCTGTTTACATGCCATGATAAGCCATAAACCTTGGCTTACCACCAACAAGCACTTTGCTCAAGCACACTGTTGAATTGTTCCTGTGTCACTCCACCCTTCATGGAGCTGGGAGCAACAAACCACAAGCCTTGGTTTACTGCAGGGTTTGAAGGGCTGTCAGGAGACATTCTTCTCTTTGAAGGAGGCCACCATCTGAAGGGTCATCCAGTCCTGGTCCAGTTTAAGATAAGCTCTACAAGAAGAGAGAGGGCCTTGAAGTTGTCCGTTATCAGTTGGCACCTGGACAGAATGCACTATATTTCTGTTTGAATTACAATTTTGCACCTGTAAATATAAATTAGCATATGCAAAGGCCTTTTGTGTGATGAATTTTTTTGGCAGTAAGGAGCTACCCTAGATAGTGTACTAATTCCATCAGTAATGTCGCAGATAAAACTATGAGAAGAGGCTACAGTGTTGTGTAGTCCTCTCCCCACTTTCCAGCTCAAAACAACTTCTTGTAGACTGTAGTACACCCCTACCTCATCAAGACTTAACGATCGTCAACACTAACCAGAATTGCTGTCTGAATCAGGTTTTGAAATTGATGCAGATTTGCACTCCTTAGCTGAGACGGAACCTGATACGAGTCATTGATGTAATGCTTTGCCATGGTTAAGGCTGACAAGGGAATGTTGGAGGAAATTCATGTTGCAGGGGTTGGGAAGTGAATGGACATGATTGTGACTAGCTCCTGATCTTTTAACAACGGTTAAGAAAACAGTGGCGTTAACATCTGCACTGAGACAAATTTTAAGAGAGTCAGAATAATAAGTTGTTGGTTATCTCTAATCCATATTTCTGAACTTTTCCCCCCCCCCCGGCATGGCATGTTTTTGTTCATGGAAACCACCAGTTTCTGTTGCTAGAAAGCTATACATTTGCACTGGTTCCTTTTCTTGATTTCCATTCACAGTCTTCTCATAAAGTAAATACAACATACTATTGATTTACAGCAAAACTATCCATATATTCAGGCCTCTGAGTCTGATCAGTGTGAACCACTGACATGAATATTTCGTCTTCTCTTCCATACCCTAAGAGGGTTTGTCTTTTTGTGGATGTTTTTGTGTGTTAAGATTTGAGAAAAGAAGACTACTTTGGAGGCAGGGGCAGCTGGCACCTCCAGAATTGCTGTCCTTGACCATTCATTTGCATTCTAAGACATAAAGGGCTTCTTCTTTAATATATTAAAAGGTAGAAACTCTATTGTTGTGGCAGGCATATCTGGTTTTTCAATGAGACATTTTAATTCTATCTTCTACCGCAGTTGCTTATCATTTTGCTTTATTTCAATGAATGGATATGCAGGCTGCAGTCCTGAAATTTCAGTAGAATTTGGATTTTGCTAGGTTGAAATAACAGCTAACGTTTTCCAAACTCAAGTCTTTCTTTGACAGTTACCTTTGTATAACAATGCCTTGAAAAGCTGCAGAGCACAAATGAGATGTGATATGGGAGATCTGTGATTTTTCCAGGTTGTCTTTCCCTGGCCTGCCAGTAAGAACTATGAGGCTTGTGGGTGCTAGGGGCAGGGCCTTTTCAGTAGTGGCCCCACACTTTTGGAACTCCCCACCCAGGGAAATTTGTATGGCTTCATCATTGCTTGTTGTTATTCCCTAAAATGTGCATAGTTGATGGCATGTGTCCAAAAAATGGCTACTGAGGTCTACTAACTGATTTTTAGTTGAATTAGTGTGTGTGTTTAAAATTGTAAGCTTCCCAGATGATCTGTTTAACGGAGAAAGGGAGGAACTTCAGAAAGTCGTTTGCCAAACTGCTCTCTGAAGTGCCTGCCCCTTCCATTAAACACAGCTGCAGTGAGGTTTAATGGAAGGGGAGGAGGTGCTTCAAATAACAGTTTGACAAACTTCTCTCTGAAGCCCCTCCCTTTCCTTTGGAGGGGATAGGGAGGTTTGTGAGAGCTGGGAAGGGGTGAATGTTGTGTAAAGGGAGGAGGGTTGGCCAGGTGATGGGAAAGGACACTGGCAAAGGGGTTGGTGAGTAGGCAGAGTTGGTGAGCAGAGCAAGCAGGGTCAGGAATCCTTTGTTAATAAACGAACAAATAAAGGTAAAAGGAGATATGAGCATGGTTCAGTCAAATTTGGAAGTTGCATGGTGGAGAGAGGATAGACATTTCCCCACACTAGTATTCCAGTCAACTTCTCCCACCACCCACACCAAACAAAGGCTGTTGTTTTTCTGCTGCATTCCCCCCCTGTAAGGCAAATATCAGTCAGTATAAGTGGTGTGATTTATATTGTGGAAACTTGCATGTGGCAATGTGTTTTACCTGCAGAATGGCCTTGATCCAGTTCAGCCCCCTTCCCCTATAGCTGCTTATAACTTAAAAGAAACAAGAGAGCCTGGTCACAGATCTCCTGCATCACATCTTCCTTGACTTTTAACCCTTAGCGTCTCCTGTTTGTGCACATACCATATAGGTGTAGGAGAAGCAGATCATGTTGCTGGTCCTGCCCTGTCCTCTGTGCATTTGTCAGAAGGTGAGCATGGGACTTCTGACACATGTAGAAGTCAGGAGTAGGGCTAGCAGGCTGGTCCCCCTCCTCTTTCACTTGATCAGTATATATGCACATAGAAGGTGAGGATAGGTCTCTACTGCCTGATTTGTTTACCCATTCAAGGGATTAGTTGAACTTTGGAAGAAAAGGTGAGATACCCTAGGACAATTAGTCATTCTTGAACAGCTTATAACTGACTGAATAGATGTCATTCAAATGAAAGTACGGTCATGGCATGCTAAGGTGGGTGTAATACTTTGTGATTACAAGTAATGGGTGTAGAGGGAGGAGGACTGAATCACCCAAGAATTTGTCTCTGTGGGCAAGGAAGGCTTGTAACAGCAATTCTTAACCATCCAAGTTTGATGAGTCTGAGCATCTGTGATTGTATAAACAAGCCCTAGAGCAGTGGAAGAATATGCTGTACAAGAATCCCCTTGGTGTGCTTTGTGGCCCTGAATCAGGGCTACACATCCCACCCTGGATTCTTCTGCACAACAGTTGAGCGGGTGTGCATTAAAAACTTTTTGAAAAGGTTTGGATGCACATCACCATGCAGGATCAGGTCCTCTTGCTTAACTAAGCAGGAGCATCCGATCCTGCATGGTGCTGGCTGATCCTCCTTCATGAGTGATTTCCCTGCACATAAAGGAAGCTGCTCAAGAAAAAGTGACCAGCACCATGCAGGATCAGAGCCTTCCATTTGACATTTGTTAGGAGGGAGGATCCAGCCCTGCTTAGTGCTTCTTCATAAGTAGCTTTCCTTGCTCCACTTTCACTAGCTGTGGGAAAGGAATTTCCTCTGAGATAAGAGCTGTTGAAGCTGTAATATTAAGGTGGAACGTTAAGTTGGGAAATATCAAGGTGGTCTGAGCTGCTAATAACATCTTTAGAGGAAACCTGTCCATTTTAACTTGCATGTCCTCTCCACAAGTGATGGTGCAGCTTATGAATCTTGTCATTTGAACCTTGAAGCTTTTTGTAAAAAGGTAAAGGTAAAGGTACCCCTGCCCGTACGGGCCAGTCGTGACCGACTCTGGGGTTGCGTGCTCATCTCGCTTAAGAGGCCGGGAGCCAGGGCTGTCCGAAGACACTTCCGGGTCACGTGGCCAGCGTGACGAAGCTGCTCTGGCGAGCCAGCGCAGCGCACGGAAACGCCGTTACCTTCCCGCTATAAAGCGGTACCTATTTATCTACTTGCACTTAGGGGTGCTTTCGAACTGCTAGGTGGGCAGGAGCTGGGACCGAACGACGGGAGCTCACCCCGCCGCGGGGATTCGAACCGCCGACCATACAATCTGCAAGTCCTAGGCACTGAGGTTTTACCCACAGCACTACCTGCGTCCCATAGCTTTTTGTACTGGAGTTTAAAAACCAAAAGCAGGAATTGGCTCCAAATTACCATTTGCCTTTCTTTAAAATTTGGTTTACCGTATTTTTCGCACCATAGGACACACTTTTTTCCCTTCAAAAATGAAGGGGGAATGTGTGTGCGTCCTATGGAGCAAAGACAGCGTAGCCCGGCGACCCTCTGCCGGCTGGAGAGGTGACGCGCGGCTATGGCAGGAGCCTCTATAGCTGCGCGCCTTTGCGCTGCTCCCCGACCTGCTCTTTGGGGCTGGGGGTGGGCTTCCCCCCGCCAGCCCCAAAGAGCAGGTCGAAAGGAACCTGAAGCCTGGAGAGTGAGAGGGGTCGGTGCGCACCGACCCCTCTCGCTCTCCAGGCTTCCAAGGTAGCCGCCTGAAGGCGTCTGAATGCACCTTAAATGGCACCTTGTTTTAGAGGGGGAAAACAAGAGGGGGGAAATTCTCCCCCTCTCTGCGCAGCGCCTCCTGCCGCTTCGCTGAAGGGGCGCTGGGCAGAGAGTGAGAGAAATTTTTTTTTCTTGTTCTCCCCCCTCTAAAACAAGGTGTGTCCTATTGTCCGGTGCGTCCTATGGTGCGAAAAATACGGTAAAGTTAAATCTGCTCTTTTAGCTTTACCCTAATTCCTGATCGTTGCTTTGCTTTCTGTTGATTATGTGGAAGTTGATTTAATTATTTAATTTCTGAAAATGCCATTTTATCTTCCGGCAGTGTGACAAAATCAAGCAGCAGAGAGATGAAGCAGTCAAGCAGTTGGAAGAGATTCAGAAAAGTAAGTAGTGTTTTCCAAAGGAATAAGGGTTCTTTGCTAACAGATCAAATGGGCAAACACCAGTTAGCTATTTCCGAGTACCTTTTGTGTTGTGACTCAGATCTAACTTTTGGAAATCTGTACAGTAATTCAGTTACTCTGGGGTTTTACCCTCACAGGTTTTTAAAAATTATTTTTTCATTTTCAGATTTAGCAAGGAAAGAAAAAAAGAGAAAAAGAAAAAAAGATTAATTGAAATTTAAAAAGAGAGAGAAGATTAATAATAATGTGCAAAAATACTACTAATAACAGTAGTCCAATTAAACAGAGTAAAATACATTACACAGAGTGATTATTAAAATCAGACATTCTGTCAGATAAGAGTTTGCTCCCCTGAGGAATTCAACTTACCATCCCCGCAAACTTTTCTCCTTAACATTCTCCAAACTTGTCCCCTAATAAAAAGTTATTCAGATACCCAATCGATCTCTCAACTGGGAGATTTAAATCTTTGAACAAGACTGCTCTTAAGTCCTTGTGGATTGGACAAACCAGTAAGTAGTGTGGTACTGACTAGGTGCGATATGCTTGGCCCAGGAGTGCCAACTTAAAATACATTTTGGGAGGGGGGGAGGTGGTAAGCCCTGCTGCACATAATTGATCACATGACACAATGCACGCACACCATTTGAATGGCAATGCCCATCAAACAGAAGGGTGGGGGACCCCTCAAATATTTTACTGAGCGGGCCGAAGTGACCTTAGCCCCTAGGAGTTGGCTCCTATGGCTTGGCCCCACAAAGAAATGGGTAACTTGGAGGAGGTGATCTTTGTTTTTGGTTTGCATTACCATCTCTGCTTCTTTAAGGTCATGCTCAGGAATGGGCAATGCTAATATTCTCATTGCCTTGGGCCGGGTTTTAGTGAGGGGTAGCAACAGTGGGATAGACTTGCCCACTTCTGCCTTCTCTGAAGCCTATTGTAAGACCCCTTTGTGTCCCACAATTCCTTTGGCACATACAGAAACCTCAAGAAAGAGGGTCACTTTCTCCCCACTTTGCATCATATTCTTTCCCTCCTCAAAATACAACATGAAGTAGTCCTAATAGTCCTCTTGTGGGATTTCCATTTCCCTGTTGTAGCTGGTGAAATCTTCCAGATGTTGAACCGCCATGAAAATGTGTAGGAATGAAAGCAAAAGCTGAGACAGGTTGAGAAGCAGTTTTATGGCAGTCCCTTGAAATTATCCTTGCTCTCTACCCACAAAAAATGCGGAAGAAAAAGCTTGACAAGGATGACCTTTTCTGGCACATTAGGCACAAAGTTTTTCCTAGCAGGGATTCTGCCACCCCCTCTGCCACCCCTCCCCTGCTTAAAAGCCTCATGAGAAGCATAAGTTGGTGGAACTGCAGTTATGAGAAAGATTTTATCGTCTAAGTTTTAAAGGTAATTGTAGAGCTTTGAAAGCATTGTTTACTTTGTTCTAAATAAATAGGAAGCAAGCTGCATATTGTTTTTTCAAAGAAGTTATCGTGGGGCTCAAATGCTGTTAAAAGTAGGCCGACATTCAAGTGGTATAGTTCTCCCTGTCACAAAGATGCAGCGATGAAGAATTTCTGCCTGTTTTGCAGACTTTTGAAAACAATAAATACTGTTTTTGTGATGTAATGCCAAAAACATACGTCAATATGCTTTCTAGGCACTTGCAACCTCATGGAAAACCTACATTTCAGTTCTGACATGGTGAAGGCATCACCAGTTCCATTTACATTTTCTGGTCAAAGAATCACTTCTGTTTACTGTCTTATTGCAACCTTCCTTCCTTCCTTCCTTCCTTCCTTCCTTCCTTCCTCTTTCTTTCTTTCTTTCTTTCTTTCTTTCTTTCTTTCTTTCATCCATCTATCTATCTATCTATCATCTATCTATCTGTATAGGGGAATGAAATATTCCTTTAAATACTTCCATTTGGATAGCATTACTTGGGTTGAAAAGTGGCAGGAGTATTTGTTCTCCGAAAGACTTATTCTTTTATAAGTAAAATTACTTGAAATGAATACACTAAATGCCAGCTTTTGCCTCCTTACTTTCAACATTTGTCAACTGCTGAAGTATTTTTATTTTTTAATTTTTGGAATACCCAGAATGCTAGCCAGGGGCTGATAGACAGAGAACATCTTCTTTAGTTCAAAGAATTGCAAGGAAAAGAAATCTCTGTCCTTGCCCTCTTTTATTTACATTTACATTACGTTTATTCATGTGTGCTTTTGCTATTCTTGCCCACATATGGAGGGTTCTAATTGGAACTGGCTGTGACGGCTGTGTGGAACTCTTCCTTTGAATATCTCTGTGGTGGGAAATGGGGTGGGGACCCAAATTCAATATATTGGAGAAGGCTTGTTTGCTTTACTGTCTAAGGCTCAGGCTGCTGACTTCTTTATGAAGGATCAAGCACATCTACATAACCAAATTTAAAGTGGGTATGATGATGTCTCCCACTGGCGCAAGTAATAAATATGCTAACAACTCTCCCCACCCCCCATCCCCTCCACCAAATATCCAGTTTTCCCTCTTGTGTGATAATGGTTCTATTGATGCCATGTGGTGTCTGGAGGTAACAAAGCACAGCTAATGGGAGTGGAAAGCCCTCCCGTGAATAGCTTCTCAAGAGAGGAGATGACAACAGTACTGCAGCCTGTTATGTTAGGTCTCTGTCACCATAGTATGTTTTGTTGCAGTATTAGGCATTTAGCAATAGAGGGTTAAAAGAAAGAACCTGCACCTCATACATAGATGACAAAGAAATTTACACGGCTGGGGTTTGCGTCGGTTCATAAATGCAGTAGAAAAACCTCCAGTGAAATAGTCCTAAACTTTAAGCTGTTTTGAAATAATCTGGTGGAGTGGCTATATGTTGAGGGGGGGAAAGGCCTAAGTCAAATTCCTGTGAAAAGAAGTGGAAGGAATAGGGCAGGCACACACAGACACCTTGTGACTTGTTAATATGTGCTAGTGATACTGGGAATTCAAGAGCCTGGCAGAAAATGTCAAGGAGTGGAGTCTTAAAATTTGAAAGTAATATTTGCTCTTGTAAAATGCCGTGGGTTTTCCTTTATCTTCCTTTTCATGTGCTTCACCCCCTCCCTTTTTTAAAAAAAGAAAGGGGGGGAAAAGACATACCTTGTAAACATAGCGATAAAATGCCAGGAATATTAGGATTTTACAGCAATAATGGAGCCCATTATTTAAACGACAATATAAAAGGCAATTATATTGATGAAGAGCTACACGGGCTTTGTGTCTGTGAATAAACTTGGCCTGCGCTCAGCTTCTATTTGTTCTCCCGGCATAAACACATATTGTGCGTGATTCCTGTTTAATGGGGCCCAGTCTGTATGCCAAGCAGCTGCATTTTAGGCCCTATAGCGTGATTTCATAGCTCTCTGAAAATTGGTTCTATTCAGCAGAAGAGATAGGAGGTGGTGGTAGGGGGGGAAGCTTCAACACACAATCATTTCTTTTCAATTGGAGCCAGAAAGGTTGATGACAACATGACCATTGTGTGATAATGATAAGACCACTAAGGATCTGTACTTCTCATCAAGGCTTTCACACAACAGCAGATACAATTTAATTCACTGCTCTGTCAGCAGTGCTGATACCATTATGCCGTCTGTCTCCACAGTTATAATCACTGTCCTCCGAGAAATGCAGTTGAAATGATCTTGAGCAGTCAAAGAAACTCTCAATTAAGGCTGCCACTTCCAATGTGTCAGATTGTGTCTTATGCACTTGGTACAATTTTCACTTCCAATCCTGTTTATTTACAATGTCGGCCAGTAATTACGCTTAACGTGTCATTTAGTGAGGGTGCCCCTGCCAAGGAGATTGTTGGGTGCTGCAGTGCCATTGAGGGGGAGTTTCTTGCAGTCAATGCCATCAGCGGCTTTTAGTCCCTGATGGGATGCGGTAGTAATGTTGATAATGCAAGTATCACGCTCATCAAGTCATAATTAGATGCCACTCAAATGTGCCACTTGTAATAACAGTGTTGATTCATGTTTTCTCGGTGACTGCAACTACTAATTAGTTAAGTGGTTTTTGGTTGGCCTGCATTTGCTGCATATTATTATTACCCCTGAAAAAATGTTGAGGTTGGAGAGGTTTTTGGCCACTTAGTGTTGCTTTATGAATTTTAATATCAGCATAATAAGAACTTTGGACAGTCTTAGGAAGGGGGGGTGTATGTATGTGTGTATATATGTGTGTGTGTGTGTTCAGATACATTTTACCTTTGGAATTTAATCATAATTGCAGGTTAACTAATCTTTAAATGAACCATGAGGTCTTAAAAAAAGAACCCTTTATATTTTACATAAAAATCTAGTTAATTTTCCCCTCCTACCATTAATGTAAAGTGACTCTTTTTTTTTTTAATGCACTACTCCTACCCTTTAATGTAAAAGGAATCAGAACTTTCTTGGCTAACTATGAAACAACAAAGCAGCTTTTTGGACAAATGCCATGTAATCACTTTTTCTTTTCTTTTGACAGTGGATTAGACAGATGTCACAACTCGGTGACACATTATCAATAGCTTATTTTTTCTGTTTGTTGTGATTCTTCAGGCTGGAATGCATTCTACGCTACCATACATCCGGGTACCAAACCTGAACTACCTGGTCCGTGTATCTGCATAATACACGCTGGGTGAAATTCAGTGGTGTCTACGTATGGACAAAATGGACATCTGCTTGCACAATGGGACTTCCCTTTCCTCTTCTCCCCAGTGCAGCTCCCTGAAGCTGGGGGTGCAGAAGCCAGCTCACACAATGTTGAATTTTTCCCACATTTCCAAATGTACATTTTGCACATTGAATTATACATGTAAAACCTGTTTTGTGTACACTTAGAAAATTGTAACGTGCCAGGTTGGTGTGGTAGAAGACTACAAAATACCTTCTTTAGCAGGATCCAACCTATGAGCTTTGCTTTCTTGGCTCAACATCTTTAGATTTCTAGGACATTGAAGTTGGTTTTCCATGCAGCCTGATCCTATATTTGTTTATTCAGAAGTGATTTGCACTGAGCTCAGAGGAGCTTCCTCCCAAGTAAGTGGGCATAGGATTGTGGCCTAAGAAAGGTTGGCTGATGACCATTTGTTTTATTATTCTTGCCTTCCACTGCAGCATGTGGCAGAGATTATTTGCGGCATTTCCCCATGCTTTGCTCAACTCATTCCATTTTCTGACAGTATGTCTGCAGCGCATGCAGTGCTTACCCCTGTTCTTGGCTTATGACACGCTGCCAAATAGGTAGCCTGGGTTGACCTAATAGAAGATAAACCTCTTAAAGTACAGGGCTTCTGTGTTCTTTTGATTATTGGATCCCAGGGCTGAGTATTTCCCTTGGTGTCTCTGTGTTTCTACCTCATCTACATGGGAAACTACTGCCATGTGTTGGTTTTCTAGGCCCAGCTATAACAACACATCTAGGCTCTTGCGGTGTGTCTATGTATATCTCCTTTGGTTAAGGCTGTTTTCTTTCATCTCTGGTGGTTCAGTGCCAGATGCTGACAGAACACGAAACATAAATAACAATTATAGCAAACAAGAGGGAGAAAGCCATTGGCTTCTTATTCATTTTCGAGCCATAGCTCACAGCACTGTTTCCCCACCACCACCAATAAAGCCCCAAAGGGCTTGGATTCAAGTGTGAAAGAATCATAGAACTGTGCTTCTTAAATTGTGGTGCCCAGAATTGGACACAGTACTCCAGGTGTGGTCTGACCAAGGCAGAATAGAGCAGGAAGAAAACATATCAACTCTAGTATCCCATAATGATACACAGTACACATAAGAAGAGCACTGCAGGATCAGGCCGGTGACCCATCCTGTTCTCACAGTGGCCAACCAGATGCCCTGTGGGAAACCCATAAGCAAGACATGAAAGCAGGACTTGTGATTCCCAGCAACAGATATTTACAACTTCATAACAATATCATTTATATGCAGTTGGGTAACTATCCTACAACTGGAGTCTGCTTTTATTCTGAAGTTTTCTCATTTGGTTTGGAAGATGAGACAGTGAGACTTATGTATTCAAGGCAGAGATGTAAAGGTTATAGCTCTGCCCTTGGGCATATACAAGGGCAATCTAATGCATGCCTACTTGGGAATAGGTCCTACTAAACGCAATGAGTTGCTTTCAACCAGTGCATGCCCCCTAAATCTGTTCTGTGGGGTTTCCCCAACCTTCCCAAGCGGATTTGGGGATGCCGCGGGACAAGGAGAGGGTGAAAGCAGCAGTACATAAACATAAACTGTTCTGTTTGCACATTTTTAAAGTTAAATACCGTATTTTTCTGTGTATAAGATGCACCCATGTATAAGACAACCCCTATTTTTTAAACCCCAAATTAAGAAATTAAGTTGTTTAGCTTTTGGGGGAGGGGGAGGGAGATCCCTATCGCCAATTGCTCACCCACCTTCCCGCCACTGCCGATCACTTGCCACAGCCACTGCTGATTGCACACCTCCCCACAGCTGCCAATTGTCTGCCAGCTTGCCATCACCAACAGCCCATCCGCCCACTTTCCACAGCCGCCAATCGCCTGCCCAATCGCCTGCTTGCTGCTGCCATTAATCGCACGTCCCCTCCCCCCTCTGCATTCACTATCTGTGTATAAGACGACACCCAATTTTTGTCCTTTTATTTTTTTAGCAGAAAGCATCGTCTTATACACAGAAAAATACGGTACCACCCGGTGGAACTCCTTAGTAAACATGTAAAATATTGCGATGTAAATTGGATGGCGGTGACGGCAGTTGTTTGTTTAAATATTTATACCCAACTCTCCATTTAAAAAATGCTCATGGCAGCTTGCAATAAATTTGGAAACAAAATTTCACCGAAGAGTTAAAGAATTCTTAAAGGCACTTAGAAAGGTTATCTTTAATGCCTCAAAATAACTTAAGCAATTTTATCAAATATGTGTAAAATATCATAGACAGTAATGGGAAGTCAGGTTACAGATCCAGCAGTCTGGCCAGAAATATGGGTGCTTCTGAAGAATAGTCATGTGTGACCTTCTATGCCAAAGCTTCAATCTCCAAGTAAGGCTGGAAGAGAACCAGAAGCAGCTCCCTTTCCATTGCTTTCCTGGATTCCCAACACCGTCGCTGCCACTTATGGACGGGGTCAGGGGTGGGGAGCTCAGTGTGGTGCAGTGCTTAGTGGCAGGAGTTTTGGTTGGCTGCATAGCCGCCATGCCTCAACCCCCCCCCCCTCCAATCTCTCTTGGTAAGCAGCAGTGTTGAGATGCTGGGGGGGGGGCAACACCCACTCTGTGCCACTGTCCACTCCTAGAGAGAACCCTGCCTGAAACCTCAGCAGGCTCAATGTAAACACTACTGAGCTAGACGGGCCAATGGTCTGACTCAGTGTAAGGCAGCCTCCTATGTTATGTTTTATGAAGGAAGTGTGTCCACTCTCACCAGTGTCACCCCTGAATCTTTGCATCTTGAAAACTCTGTTGCACTTTTCAGCCAGCTTTGGGGACCGGAATTAAGCCGTTTGGGACAGAGTTTAGGCTTTAGGAAATATTAAGCTTTGAAAAAATAGATAGAAAGCTAAAAATGTATTTAAAAACCTTTATTTATAGAAAATAATTGTTTTCCCCGCCCTTCCAATTCCTACTGCAGTGTAGTGGTTTGACAGGAACCTGGGAGACACGGGTTCGAATCCCAACTCAGCCATGTAGCTTGGGCTTCGTCACTGTCTCTCCGCCAAATTGACCTCACAGGGTTGTTGTGATGATAAAATTGGGGTGGGGGAGCACCATGTGTGCCAGTTTTGAGTGCTTGGGAGGAACGTTGGGATATAAATGTAATCATAACAACAACAACAATTAGGATGATAAAAATTAGTTTGAAATTATTTTTGTGTTTGCTGTAATATATGCTATAGGAAGGGGGAAGAGGTAAGTAAGAAAATGTGATTGTTATAAGAATGGAAGACATGAGTTTTGATGGGGTGGTGATTTGGGGCAGGGAGGATGAAGGCAAGCATGCAGAAGTAAAGGTAAAGTAGAAGGACTAGAAATAATACAGGATGCACTTTGGGGAGAGGTGAAGCACTGGGAAAGAAGAGTTAATGTTTAGTAGGTTCTGTTAGGAATTTCAGACTGCAATCCAGTGCTCTCTCTCTTGGTAATAAGTCCCATTAAAACAGTGGGCCTCCCTTCCGAGGCAGTCTGATCAAACAGCCATAGGATCAGATGGGAATCCTGTTTCTCCTTGTATTCAAAACTTTGGAAATAATATGTATCATTTTTTACCTTAATGTTTAGCTCTTTTTTTAAAGCATTCATAGACATCTGGTCCTTTTATATATATGTTTTGATTAATATGGATAAAGTGTTAGCTTTAGAGAAGTAGTTGACGTGGAAGTTGAATTAGATTTTCATAATCATAGGATGAATGATCTGAGTAAAATAAAAGTCAGAGTGAGGGAAGGCTTGACTCATTAAACACTGTGTGAATCAAATATTTCCCCCTTATGCTTTAGTTTCTCACATGGTCATTGAGGAAGTGAGCTGCATACAGAGCCACCTTGAAATTGAGAAGACATGCCGTGAAAGTGCAGAAGCTCTGGCCACTAAGGTAAGAATACCGTATTTTTCGCACGATTGGACGCACCGGACCATAGGACACACCTAGTTTTTTGGGGGAGAAATAAAGGAAAAATTTTTTCCCTTTATTTCCCCCCCAAAAGCAGGTCAGGGAAACCGAACCAGGTCGAGGAACAGCGGGATAGTGGCGCTGCGCCTCCCTGCTGTCCCCCAAGCTTGTGGGGCTGGCTGATGTCTGCCTAGCGCGCGGGGCGCTCTGCTTCAGGGCGCCCCACCCGCCGGGCGGCAGGCTGCTATCCGCAGCTTGGGGAGCCTTGCGGGGAACTGCTGCAGGGCTCCCCACGCTGCGGATGTATGCCTGGCGCGAGGGGCGCTCTACTTCAGGGCGCCCCACCCGCCAGGCGGCAGGCTGCTATCCGCAGCGTGGGGAGCCTTGCGGGGAACTGCTGCAGGGCTCCCCACGCTGCGGATGTATGCCTGGCGCGAGGGGCGCTCTACTTCAGGGCGCCCCACCCGCCAGGCGGCAGGCTGCTATCCGCTGCATGGGGAGCCTTGCGGGGAACTGCTGCAGGGCTCCCCACGCTGCGGATGTATGCCTGGCGCGAGGGGCGCTCTGCTTCAGGGCGCCCCACCCGCCGGGCGGCAGGCTGCTATCCGCAGCTTGGGGAGCCTTGCGGGGAACTGCTGCAGGGCTCCCCACGCTGCGGATGTATGCCTGGCGCGAGGGGCGCTCTGCTTCAGGGCGCCCCTCGCACCGGGCGGCAGGCTGCTATCGGCAGCGTGGGGAGCCTTGCGGGGAACTCCTGCAAGGCTCTCCACGCAGCGGATGTGTTCCCGAAGCGCCGGGCGCTCTGATTTCAGGGCGCCCGACGCTCTGGGAAGCAGGCTGCTATCCGCAGCTTGGGGAGCCTTGCGGGGAACTGCTGCAGGGCTCTCCACGCTGCGGATGTATGCCTGGTGCGAGGGGCGCTCTGCTTCAGGGCGCCCCTTGCGCCGGGCGGCAGGCTGCTATCCGCAGCATGGGGAGTCTTGCGGGGAACTCCTGCAAGGCGCTCCACGCTGTGGGTGTGTTCCCGAAGCGCGGGCGCTCTGCTTTCAGGGCGCCCGACGCTCCGGGAAGCAGGCTGCTATCCGCAGCGTGGGGAGCCTTGCGGGGAACTCCTGCAAGGCTCTCCACGCTGCGGGTGTGTTCCCGAAGCGCGGGCGCTCTGCTTTCAGGGCGCCTGACGCTCCGGGAAGCAGGCTGCTATCCGCAGCGTGGGGAGCCTTGCGGGGAACTCCTGCAAGGCTCTCCACGCTGCGGGTGTGTTCCCGAAGCGCGGGCGCTCTGCTTTCAGGGCGCCCGATGCTCCGGGAAGCAGGCTGCTATCCGCAGCGTGGGGAGCCTTGCGGGGAACCTTGCCGGCACCCAGAAGCTTGGGGCGCGCTGAGCTCTGCACGCCCCAAGCTTCGGGATTAATGCAGCGCTCCGCTAGCCGTGGGAGAACTGGGTCTCCCACGGCTAGCGGATAGCTTCCTGAAGCCTGGAGAGCGAGAGGGGTCCGTGCGCACCGACCCCTCTCACTCTCCAGGCTTCAGCGAAAGCCTGCATTCGCTCCATAGGACGCACACACATTTTCCCTTGCTTTTTAGGAGGGAAAAAGTGCGTCCTATGGTGCGAAAAATACGGTATATATTTTATTTTTCCTCTGTGTGGAACACCTAATCTGAGGGTTTCTGAAACACTGGCTCATCGTGGCTGGTAAGCTTAAGTCACATAACAATGATGCTGATCCTTTGTAGTCCACTTGGAAGGCCCGAGAAGCTGTAAGGTCAGCAGAGGAGACTGAAACCACAGTCCTTTACACACTTATTTAGGAATAAGTGCCTCTGAACAGAATGATTCCCGACCCCCCCCCCCCAAGTAAATACGCAAAGGATTGCTCTCTAATGTTGAGATCCTGTGTGCTGCTACTTGGCACTGAGGCTCATGAAGAGTGAGGTTTAATATCTGAGTTAATATGCATTGTGGGCACATTCAAATGTGTAAGTTATTGTGTTAGATCCCCTGACTAAAGTGCTACTGCTTCTGTCCATTTCCTTTCCTTTCCTTTTAAAAATATACTGTTAAAATTATTACTTAGTACTTAGGAGAGGATGCAGTTATGAAAACAACCTAACAGTGTACGTCAGTTGCCCAAAGAGGTGTAAGAAGCCATGTCCAGACAAGCACATTCAGACATATGTTTTCCTTTCATGCTGCAGTACCTATAGCATTATGGAACTGTGGCTTTTTAACCAAGACACCAGCATGTTGTGCTAAATTTCATTCTGTGTCACTACTCCCCCACCCTTTCTGTGCATGTATGTGTCTGTTCCTGCACAATTCCCCCATGAGACCAACAGGAAAGAAGTGTATGCCAGTATACCACCCCAAATTTTGTCACCTGACTCCCTCAATTTTTGGGTTTCTGGCTGCAAATGATTTGTGTTTTTCCCCCTGGAACCAAGTAACACAGAATCAAGCACTAAATAGGTGCCATTAGTTTTCCAGTAGTGGCTTTTACATTGTGTGAAGGCTCAATTATAATATGGAAATTAACAGTTAGGGAAATGTCAGGGAAATGGAATAAACAGGTGTGTGGATGCAGCCAGTATGTCTTGCACCCATGAAGGGTGTGCCCAGCCCCTCCCAACGTGACACCCCAGTATATATGTGCAATCAGTTCCATTCTTGTCAGTGCTGAAGGATGTGCCCTCAGACAAATTCAGTGCATGACAAAATTCCTACATGGAAAGCACTCCGATGTAGAATGTGGCCCGCAACTTAATGAAAAATAGTCGTATTATGATTATAGATGCTTCTGTTTTGTCGCCTATACATATGCAGGGGAGTTGTCAGGGTCCAAATACGTGTGTGCAGTCATGATATGTGACAATCTTGAGTTTTATTTTATTTCTGACAAAAAAGAGCTTTATGAAACAGCCCTGAATTTGTTTGCTTGAGCCAGGAAGCAGGGAGAGGATGGGAAGTTGACTGTTTACTTTTGGATGTAATAAAGGATTTTTTGCTTTCTTTCAAGCAATGCAATATTAGTATTTTATTTGCTCAATATGTGCAGTCCCCTAAAGATAGATTTGCTTGACTAGGTTTTCAAGCTTTTAAAAAAACAAAGCAAAAAAAGGATAATTCATTGAATGTTTACTTTTTTATTCTGCCTCCCTTCACCACTACCTCCCACATACCATTTTATGCATCTGGGTTAACTGATAAACAAGTTTAGAAATGTCCTGAGTGTCTGCGACATGAAAGAATAATGAGCATTTCAGTGTGTGAATCAAATGGAAAAGTCAGCCAGAGTATTACATTTCAGGTGATTGTTTATGAAAGCAAACCATGGAGCAAGCAAAAGGTGACCTGTACTGCTCTGTTGATTGCATCTAGGTTGATGAATTTACCAAGTATATAATTTTCTATATTCCATCTCATCAGAAGTGCATTATTATTATTACAGAATGTTTTTATCTCTTCATGGATACACACACACACACACACACGGTTGTGAATAACACATCTGAGCCACTTCATAATCAGAAAATGGATTGTGGCAATTTTGAGCCAAATTTCATTAGCAATGCTGGCTAGTCTGTGTGCATTTGTGCACGCCCCCCCTTGCAAAATCTCAAAGTACTTCTTCAGATGAAGCAGAAATCCCAACAGTAGGAAATCTTTTTTAATTTAGATTCATTAGCAATGTACTTTCTGGATATATTAACTTAATTGTTTGCATAATGATACTACATTAGGATTCATAATATAGTCATTCAACATATAACTAAGAAAATGAATTTATGACTGTAACTATCCTTTCTTTCCATTCTTTGCATGGAGTGACACACTCTGACAGCTAAGAGACTAGCACCTTCCTGTTTGGTTTGCTATGTCAAAGCTGACTCACTCTTCGACCAACCCTGGAAGGGTTTCTCACATTTTCTGTCTTGATCTTTAGGAGTGAAACACACTTAGAGGAACTAGCAGTGCAGGGTGACTGGGAAGATCTCCCTCTTACAAACATCTAGGTTGAGGATTTGTGTTTGAGGACAAGAGTTGTGATCTCTTCTTACTATGTGGCGTCCCTTCCCAGGAAAATAAGATCTTGTGTCTTAGGGTTCGTTTATGCTTCCACTTTCCCCCGTGCCTAGAAAGAATGGGTCCAAGTGGTTTTCTGCTTGTCCCTGTGCTTTCCCCTGCTCTTTAGTGCTGAATCAGAGCAAATGTCAATCTGCTGAAAACGAGATTGACATTTCAGCAGTAAAGGCTGAGCTTCCTGAGGGGAAAGCAGCAGGACAAGTGGAGTCTGGATGACTTTTTGCTATTATAAATGTTGGACAGAAAGCACAAGTGCCTTTTGTCCCCTTGGTGATTCTTGATATAATTCAAAATAAAAGTTGGACATCTCCCATGGTCAGATCTGCAAGCTGTCCTTGCGTTGTGACCTTGTGCATCTCCCAATGGGGGTGGTTCCATTTTTTATCATACAGACAGAACAAACACAAAAGGAATGGGGAATGCCACCTGTTATGGATCATGTGGTCCATAACTTTGTAAGATAGATTCATTTTCTTTCAGTTGATTGCTTGTATAGCTTTACATTGCTTGGCTGCCTTGCTTTGATGGGTTTAAAAGAGATTTAGACAAATCCATGGTGGATAAGGCTGTCAGTGGCTACTGACCCTGATGGCCATGTTCTAGACCAGAGCTTTCCAAACTGTGTGTTGGCTGCAGTGTGTAGGTGTTTTGTACGAACACTCCTTCACTCCTCCCAGGGCTGGAAATGGGTTGACTTAACCTCTGGTTTGCTAGTAAAACTGAATTAGTGTGTCACGAAATGGTATGTGTATAAAAAGTGTGTCAACAACAGGAAAAGTTTGGAAAGCTCTGTTCTAGACTGCTGGAGTTTGCTTCTGAATACCATTTGCTTGTAGCTGCAGGAGGAAAAGTGCTGTTGTAATAATTTATTACGGTCAGAGACCAGTAAAGAGTGCTGCTGCACTCAGGTCCTGCTTGCAGGCTTTGCATGGGCATCTCGTTGGCCACTAAGAACAGGGTGTAGTACTAGATGGGGCACTGGCCTGTTCCAGAAGGACTCTTCTTATGCTTGGATAGAGGATATAATTGTTGGAAAAATGCTCTTGGGGAGACAGCGACCCCCCAGGATCTCTGAGCGTCTCCCGGTAGGCACGTCTCTAGAATGGCATGTCCCTTCATCTCCAGAGTGCCTCTCTGCAACACTTTTCATATGAAAAGTGCACACAAGTCTTCTGGCATCATACAGCAAGAAGAAAGAAACATCCGTAGATCTAAACTACATTTTATTTACATTCGATACAGACAATCCATAATCACGTCTGTGTTCTCCAAGCTCTGGCAGAACAACTGTTGCATACTGCAAAAGTGAAACCACCATTTACAATATAACACGCTCAGAAGGAAGAGATAAGACAGTCTTCCGTTCCCACACTCTTCTCAGACATCTCATGTGACTTATACTAATCACACTAGCAGCATCAGCTGCATAAAATATCCTAACAATAATTGCACTTGTTCAGCTATCTATTTTATATATCCTCTACCAGTGTTCCCAACCTTGTGCCTCAGCTGTTTTTTGAACTACAACTCCATCATCCCTGACTAGCAAGACCAGTGGCAAAGGATGATGGGAGATTGTAGTCCAAAAACAGCTGGAGGCACAAGGTTTGGGAAACCTATACTACAGAGGCAGGCAAGCTTTTTTCCTGCCAAGGGCTGCATTCCCTTGTGGGGACAGCAGTAAGGGACCACATACAGCAATGAGTGAAACATGGGTAGGGGACTGAGCAAAAGTGGGCTAGGCCTTTCATCTATTATTATTATTATTATTATTATTATTATTATTATTATTATTATTTATGCCACTCTGGGCAGTTTCCAGGAAATTATAAAAACTCAATAAAACATCAAACATTACATGTCAAACCGAGAAGGCCCTCTGCCTGGTTCCCTGTAACTTCACTACTCCCAATGAGGGAACCACTAGAAGGCCCTCAGAGCTGGGCCTCAGTGTCTGGGCTTAATGATGGGGGGTGGAGGCGCTTCTTCAGGTATACAAGACTGAGGCTGTTTAGGGATTTAAAGATCAGCACCAACATTTTTGTTTTCTGTCACCTCTTTTTCTCTCTTTCTGCAGCCCCTTTCTCTTTTTGCTGCCACTCTTTCCCTTGTCTCCCCATCCAACCTGCATGAAACTGATTCACCCATCCCTAGCTGCAAAACCAGATCCAGCTACTGTGTTTCAAGAAACCGGAGGCTGCCAGTCTCTCCCCCATCCTAAGCAATCAATCACTATTATGTGAGGACCTGTCCAAGAAATCAAAACTAATGTAACCCCTGCCTGCTACAGACAGAGATCATGCAAGTTTGGGAGAGTTTACCAATCAATTTGGGCAAGGCCATGCTTGCTGCTATAACACTGTCCATGTGTGTGGCAGAAATTGTGCCTACATTTCACAATTCAAGGGTTTCCAGTATCACATGGGGTACAGCTAGGAGGAATGGAATGCATTGAAACTTTTCAGATTTTTCAGAAGTGGATGGGGAGGGACCTGTCCATCAGCCTATTCTCTGCACCTGCACTGATTTTTATTATGCATGCTTTCTGCATTATTAGGTCTATGGCAGCCTCTTACACATCTTGTAATACAGAATAATTTAGGGGGGGAAACTATGCAAGCCACTGAGCCCCCTCCACACCAAGTTGCAGGATTATGATACTTGTCTCTATCTTGCATTGATCATGGAGACTGCCTGCTATGATTTTAGCAGGTGTTTTCAGGGTTGCCCTAAGTGAACAATGTCCTCATTTGTAAGGCTTGGCCATGCTAGTATGTAGTGTTTTAGTGCAGTGCATATTTCAAATATGACAAAAGCATGGCATATTATAAGGGCTCCCAATGTGCAAATGAGTAGGATAACCTTGTCAATTTCTGCTCTTTTGGTTTTATTAGACGTTGGAACTTGACTCCATATTTATAAAACGTCTTCCATTGCTGATCTGGAATAATCATGGCTGCTGTGAACACTTTCCTTCTGTTAATGAAAATGTACATTCAGGGGCAAAAACAGTAGAAACGAAAGGAATGGAGAGTGCTAAAATAAGCATAGTGATTGTCTAGCATAGTCTTTCTGTTCTCTCTCTTGTTCTGCTGACCTCCTTTCAAAATTGATTTTTCAGACTTTATGAAAACCTTTCTTTTTCTCCTAACCCCCACCCCACCTCCATTTCTGCAAAACTTTTATTTGAAATTCAGAGAATCAGTGCAGCTTTCTGTGGTTTAAATCAGATAAGCCATTTAATCTTGAATCAAGATGCTTACTAGACAACCACACTTAAAAACAATGCAGAGGCAGGGCAGCCCTACCATTAGATATGATGGGGCAGTTGCCTTTGGTGGCAGGTGCTGTGAGGTGGGGAGAGCAGCATTATGAATGTAGAGGATAGAGAGGTGTGTTCCATGTGGCCTGCCTCTGCCCCTCTGATCTGACCTGCTGGGTGGAGGACATTGTCCATTCCCCAAAATGGCCCACTCCAGAGTTTAAGAAAAGCTAGGTAGCATCTAGAGCAGGGCTGGGCAACCTTTGGCCCTCCACACATTGCTGAACTACAAATTCCTGACCATGGCCACGATAGGTGGGATTGATGGGAGTTGGAGTGCAACAACATCTGGTGGCCACCAGGTTCCCCAGCCCTGACCTAGAGGTTCACTTCCTCTGGAGTAACTCTTTCTGTTGGACAAAGGGAACTGCTAGATACAACCCATTGCTCTGCTTCTGAAGTCTGAACATCCCACTCTACTCCAGCCACCAGAAGTTGTTTTTTCTTTCTGAAACGCTTGCTTGACCCACTCCTCAGTCCCATCTCAGCGAGTGTTTCAGATTCATATCATTTATGCTTGGTGGCCTTGGGATGACTGACATGTTCTATTTCACTTAAGAAAGGAAAGAGAAAGGGCTTTTTTGTTTTAAGCAACAAGAGTATGTGCTTGGAATTTTGTAGCTGAACAAAGAAAACAAGACTCTGAAAAGAATCAGCATGTTGTACATGGCAAAACTGGGGCCGGATATAATCACTGAAGAAATAAACATTGATGATGAAGAATCGTCCACAGATACGGAAGGTAGTCCAGGGGCATGTGACTCGGTGCTTTGCCAGCAGATGATAAAAGGTGGGTGCTTCTGAATTAGGGCGGGGTGCCTTTTCAAAAAGCGATCATGAATCAAGTTGAGTTGTACTGTAATGAGTAAATGTTTGTCTAGTTGTATAAGAGATTTTAGATGCGGCTAATGGGCTTCCAGTAGGATTTGAAACCAACCAATAGGGCCCAGACAGAGATGAAATTTTCATCATTCATGGGCTCTTATTTTGGTCTGGGTCCAAAGCTGGCTTTTACTGAGTTAGCCACTGATCCATTTATTATTATTATTATTATTATTATTATTATTATTATTATTTCAAGTTTTTTGTGTTTTTATACTGTAAACCACCCTGTGATCTTCGGATGAAGGGCTGTATAATAATATATCATAATACTCAGGCAGCAGCTTTTTGGGATTTCAGACAGGAATCTTTTGCAGCCATACCTGAACACGCCAGGGATTGAACGTATGACCTTTTGCCTTCAAACATGGCTTTACCACCGAGAACTGCAGCCCTTTCTAAGGGATGCCTGATCTCTAAGGCAGGCTGAGAGATGCATTGTGCACTGCAGAACTGAACTCAAAACAGTTGAGAGCCTGCTGCATCAGGCCAATGGCCAATTAGTTTAGCATCCTCTTCTCTCAGAGGCCAGCCAGAAGCCTGTGGGAACCCTGCAAGCAGCATCCGGGCACAAGAGCACCCTCCCCTCCTGTGGTTCCCAGCAACTGGTATTCAGAAGCATTACAGCCTCTGAATTTCTGGCTTTTCAGACTATGATGTCTCTGCAATGAAAATCAAACTAAGACAAAGGACCAGACAAGGCAAACTTGTAATGGTATCTGCATGTAAGGCACCTGCCTTCTTAATAATTCAAGAACCTATTGATGACCGATTCTTCAGCTTTTCCTGCCGGTGTCTGTCTTTGTGTGCTTATTGTGTGTGTTTTTGTCTCAAATGAAAAACGAACTCTTCCCACCACCGCTCTTGAAAATGTAGATCTGCGGGATCAAATTATATCTCTTCAGGAGGAAAAGAAGGCCTTAGCCATTGAGCTGGAAAACCTGAGGAGCAAATTAGCAGAAGAAATTGTGGATGTAAGTATTGTGTCAGGAAAGCAGAGAGTTGGTGAATGTGACGTTGACTTTTTGTGGCTACTTTTTGGTTTATGACTGTCCACTGTGAAGTTAATTGGATAATACCTAATCCCACAGGTTCATCAGGATTGTTAACTGCTTTTTTTTTTTTTAAGGGTGGGAGGCTTTCCGTTGTCCGCTTCCCCTCTCAAATACCTATTTTCCTTTCGACGAATCATTATCTTTTGTTTTTGTTTTTTTTTATTTTTATTTTTTAAATATTTTTTATATCTTTTGGATCCTAGAAAAAGGAATGTGGTAAACAATAATTTGTATCAGCATATGAGTGTTTGTGCACTCAGATGGATTGCCCTGATATTACAAACTAACCAGACTCCAGTGCAGTCCCATACTAAGGCTGAACACTGGGGCTTTTATGGGTAACCTCTCCCAACCAGCTTCTTCTCGGTTCCAGTGTCAGGATTTTGGAGCTTTGTATCACAACCATCAGCTGGCCTCCAAAATCCATAAGAGGAGATGAAGGCAGAAAGTATGACTCAAAAGCACTCTTAACTTCACCAAAGTGGAGATCAGCAACCCCCTCATTGCTGTTTGATGCTATTGTATTACCCTGTACAAATCTGCAGCCAGAGAGAGACTTAGCTGTGTGTCTATTAGCCTGCTGCCCCCTCCATCTCCCACAAGCGATCTTGCTAGCTAAGATTCTACATCCTTGTATGCAAGGGCTTTAAAATCTCCTTGCTGCGTATGAAGTACTTATTGCCACTTCTCAGCTCTCGGTTATTATTCAGTAAAGCATTTTAAGGTATTCCAGCTGTTTCTGTGCAGCTTTGGTTGGTATGCTGAGCAAACATATTAAAAAGTAAATTCCTTTGAAACCAAGGAGTGTGTCAGAGTAACTTAAGATTGCTCGGTTAGCTAGAAAAATTATGAGCAAAAAGGGCTTGTCACTTCTTACAGGCACATCAGCAAGAGCAGAAAAGAACACGGGAGAACTCTGAACAGGCCGATACCTAATGAAATACCAGTGTTAGCATATTGGTTGAGTTACAGCCAAGTTTCATGCCATGTAAATCATTAAGTGTTTTTGTTTTCCTGATAATCTCTGTTATGTTTTATGCTCAGTCAGTAGAGCATGAGACTCTTAATCTCAGGGTTGTGGGTTCAAGCTCCATGTTGGGCAAAAGATTTCATGTATTGTAGGGGGTTGAGCTAGATGACCCCTGTGGTCCCTCCCAACATTTCAGTTCTATGATTCTATGTCTCCCTCTACTACGCAGGTAAATAAAGTCAAGGAAGAAAATGCAGTCTTGACAGCTGAAGTTCAGAAGCATCAGAAGGTGTTGGAAAAATGTAACCGAAGTATGTACGTTTGCTTCATAGTTAACTTCTCCTCCAGTTTGCTTTCTCAGCACTGCCATTTGGAGAGCCTTGTTACTGCAGTTCCTCTCCTATATAGATGCAGCAAGGTCCAAATCAGAAAACATCATCTACTTTTGTGTACTCTTTTTTAAAAATCTTCCTGGTTTTATTTGAATATTATTTATAATTGTTGTATATTCGTTTTATGTACACTGCTTAGGATTTTTTAAAAAGTAATTAGTTTATAAATTATTGTAAGTAAATAAAATAAAAGCCAGAATCAGGGGAGCAAGGCTGATCCAACAGACTCTTCTTACGTTCTTACCTATAGAACAGGTTTCTCCATTACTAAACATTATCAATACATAGCTCCCAGCCCCACAAGTTGATTGCAAAACACTGGTTCATGAAATTGGGGCCAAGCCTGCTGGCTAAAATTACCCAGAATGTGCACAGATATTGTGCAGGCTCTTTCGTATTGTTCTGCCCACACAGCTCAACCGGGACTTGAAAGTAGTAACAATCAACTCTTCAAAATCTCTTAATGACTGCTCACAAGCCCTGATTTCGCAACATACTTCAGCTCTAAGAGTCAGTTTTCAGAATAATGGCATAGAATTTCAAAATCTATATACTCAGTAAATCCACTGTGTGCTTGGAAGCACTCCCTCGCCAGAGCCAAAACAGCCAAAGCAACATGAAAAGACCCTTTGCAATATGAATTAGAAACTGCCAAGAGGCAACCAATTTTCAACTTGCATTTCATAAGGAAAGCTGCGACAGTGAGGAAGATTTAAAAGAGATTTGCTGGGCTCGGCCAGAATTTTGTACCTGATCTGCACTGCCAGAATATTGCAAACCAAGAATCAGGCCTAGCTGCAAAACTCAGTCCTAATGACCTGCAGTGGGCCAAAGCTGGAACTGGTTAGGATGCCCTCTCCTTATTGTCTCACTGCCTTTTTGCCCCTCCCCATCTACCTTCCAATAAGCAGCAGTGATGCTACCAATCAGGTGAGCGAGGCCAGCCCACAATACTGTTTTAGATTTTGTTTAGATTGGGCTTAGATTGTGTTTATCTGGCTTGGGTGAAAGGCAGATTATAAATACTTCTGATAAATAACAACAGCAAATCTTTGTTCTGGGAAAAAGGCAATACATGTTTCCTTCCCCCCAGCGAAGCTATTTGCCAGTCTTCCACCCCACTGCACTACAGTTCTGGGATTATTTATCCACCAATGCAGTATTTCAGCTAAAGCTTTTATGGTGGCATGCAACCATAAATCTTGTGTAATCTTGTTTCATGGCATGATACAACATGTCATTTTGAAGTTTATATATTTGACGCACTTTGTATGTGAATTGCAATGGCTTGCAGCTGATGGTCACTTTTATTTTGCTTCCTAATTTGTTGTTCATCTTTGTGTGTTGTTATGTGTTGTGGTGTGTTTGGATTTGTTTTGTCTTTTTTGTGCTTTAAATAGTGTCTGTACTGGCAGTAGAAGAATATGAAGAGCTGCAAGTAAACTTTGAATTGGAGAAAGATCTGCGACAGAGAGCAGAATCCTTTGCACAGGAGGTATGTAAGCCACAGAATCTACAGATCAAATCAGGTTTTGAAACATGGATTTTTAAAAATGACCTAAGTAAGGAATGAAGGTTATATATGCCAAAGACATTAAATATGAGCAGCACACAAACAGTCTAGAATAAGGTGGGGGAGGGATGTATTCATAAGTAAACAAAAGCCAAGACACAATGGTCATGAGTTGGGGGAATTTTTGTTATTATTATTTGTCCTTTGCAATAATGGTCAATATTTTACAGAATTATTTTTTTTTAATGTAAGAATACAACATTAAAATCAGTTAAAACCATTTGTATATATGTGTCCAGTCAATCTGTCAAAGTTGATATATATGCCACAACTGTAATAAGACTCTAGTATTTGTAGATTGTATGTCTACCAAATTGTATATTTTAGCTTGATACAGGTTTTCTGAAGTAAAGGGCCATTTACACCATAGCGGCTTCTGTTTATTTATAAATAAATAAATACTGTCTTCTTTCCACTCTGCAGAAGGGTGTACGTTTATCATGCTCATTTTAAGAGTGTCTAGTCCCAGAATTGGACTAGAGTGCATCTGTGGCCTTGACCATATTTCTGTGACACTTTGGTGTCCTTTCGTGTAGTGCATGCTTTTGGGTATGCACAAGGGCTTGCAGGAAGCAAATTATTGTGCTAGTTAAGAAGTTTCTCATGTGGCTTATCTATCAGCATTGAATGTGGCTTATTTGTAAAGCTGGGGCTTCATGTGGTATATACTATATGCTCTCTGGGTTGTGGTCCTAATCTGTAAAATGCACTCAGCTTTTGCTTCAGGGAGGGGCCATAACTCTGTGGTAGAGCACATGGCTTACATGCAGCAGGTCTCAGGTTTGATTCTGCATGTGGGGTTGGGAAAAACCCCAGGGAGGTTCTTAAACAATGTAAACGATGCAAAGAAATAGAGGAAAACAACAGAATGGGAAAAACCAGAGCTCTGTTCAAGAAAATTGGAGATATGAAAGGAACATTTTGTACAAAGATTACCATAATAAAGGGCAAAAGTGGAAAGGACCTAACAGAAGCAGAAGACATCAAGAAGAGGTGGCAAGAATACACAGAGGAACTATACCAGAAAGAAATGGATGTCTCGTACACCCCAGGTAGTGTGGTTGCTGACCTTGAGCCAGACATCCTGGAGAGTGAAGTCAAAAGGGCCTTAGAAAGCACTGCTAATAACAAGGCCAGTGGAAGTGATGGTATTCCAGCTGAACTATTTAAAATTTTAAAAGATGATGCTGTTAAGGTGCTACACTCAATATGCCAGCAAATTTGGAAAACTCAGCAGTGGCCAGAGGATTGGAGAAGATCAGTCTACATCCCAATCCCAAAGAAGGGAAGTGCCAAAGAATGCTCCAACTACCGCACAATTGCACTCATTTCACACACTAGCAAGGTTATGCTTAAAATTCTACAAGGCAGGCTTAAGCAGCATGTGGACCGAGAACTCCCAGAAGTACAAACTGGATTTAGAAGAGGCAGAGGAACCAGAGACCAAATTGCAAACATGCACTGGATTATGGAGAAAGCTAGAGAGTTCCAGAAAAATATCTACTTCTGTTTCATTGACTACGCAAAAGCATTTCACTGTGTCGACCACAGCAAACTATGGCAAGTTCTTAAAGAAATGGGAGTGCCTGATCACCTCATCTGTCTCCTGAGAAATCTCTATGTGGGACAAGAAGCTACAGTTAGAACAGGATATGGAATAACTGATTGGTTCAAAATTGGGAAAGGAGTATGACGAGGCTGTATATTGTTTCCCTGCTCATTTAACTTATATGTAGAATTCACCATGTGAAAGTCTGGACTGGATGAATCCCAAGCCGGAATTAAGATCGCCGGAAGAAATATCAACAACCTCAGATATGCTGATGACACAACCTTGATGGCAGAAAGTGAGGAGGAATTAAAGAACCTTTTAATAAGGGTGAAAGAGAGCGCAAAATATGGTCTGAAGCTCAACATCAAAAGAGAAGAAGATCATGGCCGCTGTTCCCATCACCTCCTGGCAAATAGAAGGGGAAGAAATTGAGGCAGTGAGAGATTTTACTTTCTTGGGTTCCATGATCACTGCAGATGGTGACAGCAGTCACAAAATTAAAAGACTCCTGCTTCTTGGGAGAAAGGCGATGGCAAACCTAGACAGCATCTTAAAAAGCAGAGACATCACCTTGCCGACATTTGAAAGCTTGTCTCTTATAAATTTAATGCAGGCAAGCAGATGCTGCAAAATGTACCAAATTCTTTCATAAAAAGTCTCTCGTGTCCATTGCAATGCTAACTTTAGAAACCCACCAGTCTCACATTCAAATGAGGTTGAACTTGTTCAAGTCGGGATAGAGGTACTCATCTTACCACACCTGTTGCAAAATCACTTGCTAATGTTGAATTGAATGACACTATCAGATTAGATTTAAAGCACAGATATTATCCAATAAAGGTATGGAGTTGGGCTTGAGAATATGAGGATGATATCTGGCGGCAGCGGAGCTAGCTGATCGGGTGCCTGGGGCGGGGCCAGCTGCCTGTGGGGCCTCCAAGGCATCTGCCTTCCTCCTCCCACTCAGCCGCCCTACAGCTGAGGGGGAGGCAGCAGGCGGACCGTTTGGGGCAGTGTGGAGCCTGCGGATGCCCACGCCACCGCATCACTCCCAGGAGAGATGCGTGGCTCGAGCATGCTGCAGCCTCTGTGGTGATTGCCACCCGGCATTTTGTCACCCCCTCAATGATGACACCTGGGGCAGACCACCCCTCCTGCACCCCCTCTCCTCTGCCCTTGATATCTGGTGCAGCCTGACACTGAGGGTGTATGTGGGTTGGGAGCTAGGAAAGTTCCATTGACCTGCCTATCATTTTGCTCAATTTGACTGCCTATGTGTAAGTAATAAAGGTTCCATACACAATTTAATATGTGCATAATACAGTTATTTTTAAAGTGCAATGCCTTTACTTATCTTGGTTACTTAGGATGCCCTTGTCATTGTGCAACACTTGGCAGACATTGTATTTAAAATCCAGTATTGAACATTTGCATACAAAAGGTCAAATGCTGTTATCTGCTTCCTCCACCCCCCTCAACAGTAGAGGAAAACGCTTATAATTTCCGACAGCCATGACCTCCTTGTATAAGAATGTTGCTCCTCTCATGAGATTGCATGCTATTGATTCAGAGATATCAATGGGCTTTTTTAGTGACGAGCTCCACAATAACTCTCATTTAGATGCATTAATGGCCTTTGGGTTATTTTGTAATAACTCTTCCATTATTATGTGACGTGTCCCTAAATGGATTGAAAAACCTGCACTTATGAAAAGATTCTTATGTATAGCCTAGTTTGCAAAGGGGACTTGCTATATGACTATAATTAATGTAACACCCCATAGCTTCAGTTGTCATATACAGGAATTGGGTGAGGTCAGGGGACAAATACATTAGCCTTAGAATCTGAAACCTGTCACCTGCAGAGTGTAATGGAAGATTCAGCTTATTGGAGGGAGAGTGCCAAGGAATTCCATTGTAAAGGAATCTAATATTTGTCATACTATGGAGCCAATCATATGGCAAGATCTGCTGGGTTGAGAAGCTTAGAATGAAGTTGATCTCCTGCTCAATCAGCTGATTTTAGTCTCAGGTGTCCTTAAGTCCCCAATTGTGACTCAGCCGAAAATACATCGGTGTAACTTGCTCATTCTGGCTTAGCCAGGTAAGCCACAGCTCCCTGAGTTGAAGCCATTGTAACTTCCCAAAAAGGGGTGTTCTTGGGGGCGGGACCAGAAAAGAGGAACTTAAGCTGCATCCTAAGCCCGTTCAGCTTGGTCACATGACCTGGTGACCTGGCATACAACACTGTTCTTTCTGTGTTTATTTCTTTCACTACATTTTCCACATGAACTAGTTTCAGTGTAGGTCCTTGTCTATGGAACTGTGATCAGCACTATCCATCATGACAGTGTTGAAACACCTGTTAGGTTGAAGGGCGTAAGCCAATAAATGCCAAAACCTACCACTCGGCCATATTTTACCTCATTTGCAAACAGGTGATTGACAAAGTTAAGAGCACTGGTCATATTTCAGTAGATTTGGAAATATAGTCAGTTCAAGTGGTCCATGGGCTGTTTGTTAAAACAAGCAAGTGTCCAGATATCTGATTTCGTTTCTGTTTTTGTTTAATGACGTGTTAATAAGTTATATAAGGGATAGTAAGAATCTATCAGCCACCATGCTGTGGTTATTTACTGTGCTGGTAAACAAACAGCATGGAATTTGGACAAGAAATAATGTGGCATTCTGTTTCTAATACAGCAATCCTAAAACACATTTCTGCTTTTGCTGCACTACAAATGAATTTCTTAGTCATTTTTAAATAATTACTTTACTTTTTCTTTCCATAAACAGAAGATCCTACCTTGTGCAGAAATAGGCAATATTGTCTTTCATATAGATTTTTTAAAAAATCCCTCACCTTCTGGTACCAGGCTTAGTCTTACATCTGTTGTTCATTAAGAAGGAGTCTTAATGAAGTAGGAAAGCAACTTCAGCATAAGGAACGAAAGGAAATTGTTATGGATTTTGTTATGAGCGCTCAAATAGAGAGACACCATTTTTAAATATAAAAGATTTATTTGAAATAATATTTCAGCACAGCACATGTCCCAACTACTGTAGATTCCGGTGTATTAGGTGACTGGGCTTATAAGACGACCCCCCAACTTTTGCTGTTAAATTATAGAGTTTGGCCGCCCGCCAAGCGCTGCCAGGGGCAGAGTGCGCACCACTCCACTGCCTCTGCCATCGCAGCAGCAGCAGCAGCCCGAGGTGAGGCGTTTGGTGGGTGGAACTCCCTCCCTCCTGGCTCCCTCCCTCCATCCAGGAATCTGGCGGTCCCCATGGTGGCAGGGCGGGCGAGCCCCGGCCAAAGCTGTGCACCACCTCGCCGCGGGAAGGGGAGGCTACCGCAGTTGCTTCGGGAGGCGGCCAGGGATGGAGGTGGTTCTGCCCATTGCCATTCCAAGCCAGCCGCCGCCACCTGCCACAACCATACCCAGTGTATAAGACGACCCCTGACTTTGGAGAAGATTTTCCGGGGTTCAAAAGTTGTCTAATACGCCGGAATCTACGGTAATCTGAACTTCATTTATCTATACCTGATCACCCAAACATCCTTCTCATATTCCTGTGCAGACCAGTGGGCGGCTCGCCCTGCCGCTCTGGGTGCCGGAGCAGCTAGCTACGCCCCTGACTTCTCTGTGCCCAGAAACAAGCCATTTGAAACTATATTAAAAAAATGGGGCAGTGTTTGGGGGTGGGGTGGGGGACAGATCTGAAATTAGACAGTTCCATAAAGATACCTAAGGGGAATAGGAAGCTTCTTTTCCAGCTTTTCCACCATTGTAAAATAATGCCTTTTTCCTTTGGAGCGAATCTAATAGAAGACTAGGCAGGCTTTAGGGTACAGTCCAGTCATTTGCTCTTAGCATTGACCTGCTGAGATCCTGAACGTTAAAGGAGGTGACAAGATTCTGGTGCGTGTTTGTAGATTTTCCTGATGCCTGCTCCATCTGGATGCTAGATAACCAATTTCCCATATACCCGGGTTTGAATAAATGCTGGGCAAATGATCTAATTTGCAATTTGGTCATGTTTGGTAGATGTTTATTGAACAAAAAACACTGAAGCGGCAAAGTCAGCTTCTCCTTCAAAATGCTGGCCCCGACGAGCAGCTTTTGAAAGCTCTGGATGAAAATGCCAAGCTGAATCAAATACTGGAGGAAGAGAGGCTGCAACACCGGCAAAAGGTAAGCACTGTACTTTTCAGAGACTGTGGTGTGGCTTTGTTTCTGACACCTGTCTTCCCAAACTGAAGAATATATAGTAAGCAGAAGTAGCTCACTGAGTGGGACAGAGCTTTGGGCCACTGTTGCTTAATGCGAGGGAGAAGGGGAGAGGTGAGGCAGTGGGGAGGTCAGTGCAGTGCAAACACACCAACTAAGCCAGGCATCCCCAAACTCGGCCCTCCAGATGTTTTAGGACTATAACTCCCATCATCCCTAGCTAACAGGACCAGTGGTCAGGGATGATGGGAACTGTAGTCCCAAATCATCTGGAGGGCCGAGTTTGGGGATGCCTGAACTAAGGCAATCCAGCACCCCTGCTAGTGTGTTTGCACCATGGTTCCCTTTCCCCAACTCCTCTGTTTCTTCCTCCCAGTAAGCATCAGTGACCCACCTGTCAGGAAGCTAGGGTAGTGGCTCTAACCCACCTTGCCAGCCACTTCTGATTGTAAGTTATCAAGTTGGTTTAATTTAGTTTAGGTTATCCCATTGACATACCACTTCACACATCCAGAGGGGTCCTGCAGCAATTTACAATTATAAAATTTCAAATGCATTAAAAAGCCAATAAAACATTACAAATATGAAATACTAAAAGTGGTCGTCCAACTAAAAAGTTGTCTAAACCAGCGTGAAATATCCATCCCCTTCTGCACCAAGACACTGTTAGTGAGATTCTGGACTGCACAGTGAAGCTTTAACAGTGTAACAGCATCACAAATAATTGGGGGGAGGTTCTGACCATCCTCCCAAAGTGGGTGCTGAAGAGGCTAAGCCAGAGGGGCAACGCAGCCAGCCGTTCTGAGGCTGGAAGACCGCGACTGTGATTCCTGCGATGCAGGGGGTTGGACTAGATGATGTTTGGATCCCTTCCAAATCTACAATTCTGTGATTCTTTGGCTTAATGAGAATGCCTGGGTCGCCAGAGAGGAGCTTGTAATTGTTTTGTAAACTCCCTGCCCCCCCTTTTCTTTCTTTCTCTTTCTTTCTTTCTTTCTTTCTTTCTTTCTTTCTTTCTTTCTTTTTTGCGCTGCTGCTGCAGCAAACTAAGGACCCATCCGCACTACCATTTGTACTGTAATCTCAAGTCATGGGTCCAAGTGCTTTTATTTGTCCCATTGCTTTCCCCAGGGAAATCCATTTTTTCCTGCTGACTCAGAACAATCCATAAAAAGCTCAGCTGATGTTTGTTCCGATTTAGCAGTAAACAGCGGGTTCTCCCAAGGAAAGTGGCTGATAAAAAGAAGAAAGTCTTGGACCTGTGACTTGAAATCATTGGACAAGTATGGATGGACCCTAAGTCAAAGGTTTTCCTTAGTGCATACTCCAAACCCAGAGTCATAGTTAAGCTCTCTCCAGACTAATCAGGTGCTGTAACTAAGAGCAATTTTTGATGCAGGTTGGCACAGTGCAGTAGTAAAACGAACTGGGCCATGAGCTCTTCTCCAAAAGCCCCACATGCTCAGACAGTTGTCTAAGGCAGAGATTGGCTTAGCATAACAAGCAAAGCAGGCCCTGAGACACCACACTGTGGCCTTTAAAAGGAGGAGGGAGCTTCTGGGTATCTCTTCAAATAAACAGGAAATGTGTTCCATTGTCTTTTAAGTCCTGATGAAAGAAAGCAGGCTAACAAGCTACATTTGCAAAGTAGGTGATACACACATGAACAAATGGCCCCGGAAGTATTTGGAATATTCTGGAGATGAATTATTTGGATTTCTATTGGTTTGAATTTGGTGGAGATTTTAGCAATCTACAGTACTGGAAGCAATTACTAAGTTGTTTGGATAATAGTTAAAATTGAAGCCATGTTATTTCCCCCAATTTTTAGGAATAGTAAAAAGAAAACAGCGATTGCTTCAAAAACATAATGCACACATGTTTGTGTATTTATACATTGGGAGTAATTCCCAGATTCTGGGAAAGGATTGTTTTCCAAATTTGTTCAAATTGTGTACAGGGGCAGAGAGGTCTTTATTTTACCGTGTCTCAGCCCTTCAACTTGACTATTCTATAATTCACCCATTGCAAACAGCAGGGGTTAAAGAAAGAGTGTGCAAATAATAACATTTAACAAAGGCAACCATTTAATAACTTACATTAGTGTTTTATTGCTTGAGATAAAAAAACACATGTAAGAAGGTGTACGCTCCCCTCTTTTAAATCCTCTTTAAAACATTTAGGCACTCCAGAATTGAAGTGTTTTGTAAAATAATAATTGACAAAACAACATTCTAGTTGAATACAAACCAAATTATGAGATCTTCATGGCTCTCCAAGGGGGAGATTTTTGTCCTGTTCTTCATATATTTTGATTAACTGCTTGTGCCAACATTGGGCTAGATGAATGAATTTTCTGATTTTAAGCAACTGTCAGGCATCTCAGGAAATTAACCATTCTGCAGGTATAAAATCTGGCTTGTGACATGGTTTTCAGTAGTAGTTATGCCCGATGCTGTAGCCACAAGAGTGGAGTATACAATAGTTCAGGCTGTAGCTTCAAAACAGAGTAATATCCAACTAAGTCATACTAAGAGCAGACCTGCTAAAATCAATGAACTCAAGTTTCTCAAGTCCAGGCATCCCCAAACTCAGCCCTCCAGATGTTTTTGGACTAGGGATGATGGGAGTTGTAGTTCCAAAACATCTGGAGGGCTGAATTTGGGGGTGCCTGCTCAAGTCTATCAAGTTCCATGTGTCTACTCTATGATTAATGATTACTCTAAGCCTGGAGCTGGTGTGAAATGGAAGAAAAAAATGTCAGTTCTCTTCCTCCATTGATCTGCCCTCGGAAGACTTAGGATGCAGTCATGGATCCCACTCTCCCATGACCACTCTTAGGATTGCATTATAAAACTTGGAAATTCTGGAGTAGAACAGATTTAAAACAAACAAACAAACAAACAAACCCAATACATTCATAAATGCTACAAATGCTTCCTCATTTCGAGCATGTTTTTTAAACCTTGAACTATTAAGCACTGGGTTTGAATAACAACATTTAGAGTATGGTGGTACCTTAGAAGTCGAATGGAATCCGTTCCAGAAGTCCATTCAACTTCCAGAACGTTCGGAAACCAAAGCACAGCTTCTGATTGGCTGCAGGAAGCTCCTGCAGCCAATCGGAAGCCCCGTCAGACGTTCGTGTTCCAAAGAACGTTAGCAAAACAGAACATTCACTTCTGGGTTTGTTCAGGAGCCAAAACATCTGAATACCAAGGCGTTTGGGATCCAAGGTTCGGCAGTATTCCTGTTACATATTGTCAGGATCCCAGTTTTTCTACTGCCAGATAATTTTTTGGGTTCTGGGGAATCATTAGCTTGACTTGATTGGGTGTGCTTCTTTGTTAAGTTGGTGGGTGGGACAAAACAAGATGTTGATTTTCATTGCAATTTTGTATTTGTCAATAACAGGTTGAAGAACTGGAGGAACAATTAGCTAATGAAGTCTTGAATAAGGAAATCAAATCCCTTAAGCAGCAGCTAGAACTTTTAGAAGAAGATAAAAAGGAATTAGAGGAAAAATACCAGAGTGCTGAAGAAAAAATCAAAAACCTAAAGCATTCAGGTAAAATATTGAATAAATTTGATACCATATTCAATCTTAGTATGATGGATGCAAAACAGATTGAATTAAATGTGAACTCCAGTTAAGACATAACCATGTTGTTTCATGATAATCAGTGTTTGGAGTTTTCAAGCTTTATTCGTGACTAGAACTTCATAAATATGTGTTTTGTAATGTATGCTTACAAAAGGAAGCAATCCAACTGCCCCATACACCAGGCTGTCTCTCTCTGTGTGTTTTGGATTGAGTGGAAGCATCCCACTGCTCATTTCACCTGGCTGAGGGGTAGAGGCCTGTTGGTGGTATCCCCGCCATTGGAAAGTCCCCAAACAGGGTGTTCTAAGGACAGTGAGGAGCTGAGCCAGCCCGGGATTGGCTGGATCTTGATCCAGTCCTCCAGTCCTTGTGGCCAGCACTGGACTTGCTATGCACCCTATCAGTGCATCAGCCTGGAGCTTGTGCAGGGCTTGGTTGCCCTCCCACCACTTTCTCTGTGGCCACCGTGAGTGGCTGGGTTGTGGATGTAGTTGCTCCACAGGCAGGGGTGAGTGAGTTTGGATTGCAGCCTTAGCTAGGTGCACTTATTCTCCATTCAAACCAGCAGGACGTAAGTTGCATCACGACCACCTTGTCTAACCCTTTTGTATTCACTCAGTTGGTATTCTTTCTTCCAAATGCAAAAGTCACATAGGGATTAAAAAAAATATCCTCACGACATTCTAGTTGCAGAAGTTATTAGTATATTCCAAGAAATGATTTAGCGCTTTGCAGTGAGAGTTGGGAAGCAACAACACGTTATGTGCCCTTGTGCGACTGACATTTTAAAAAGTAAATGCTGTGTCGAAGGCTATGCAGAAGGAATTAGCTTTGCAACTCCCATGGGTGTTAATGGCTAAAATCCATGGGAGCTGCGTGGCTAATTCCCTGCACATCAGGCAAAACATTTACCCCTCACTATCTGACTGTAGAAACTGTCTGACTTGCTGGCTATTATTTGTCCAGTTTATAGGCTAAAGCAAGACATCAGGAGCACTGACAAAACCACTTAGAATGCATACAGTATGGATAAACTACTGTAATTTAGTTGTTACCAAAGACTTATTTGCCAGGATGGTGCCTGACCAGCTTACAGCATCGTACCTATTAAATGCTAAAAACTGTAATTTACTACTCTTTATCTAAGATTGCCATTTCTTAATAAATTCAAAATACAGTTACCAGCAGGGGAAGTACTGTTTAACTATCCTAAAGCAGCTGGATTACGTGGATGGAAAATGTCAAAAGAAAAACATACTAATGCCTTTGTGCAAGGTCCTAAAACTGTTTTACAGTGTTGTGTGTTAAATTAATCACAGCCTTGTAAAGTGACTGGAAAACCTATGGAAATTACCAAGGGAACCCACTCAGGGACCACTATAGGACACGAAATAAATTACCTGAGTATATGTATTGACTACATTTCAACTTGATGGCGTCCTTTAATGGCTGCCACATTCAGCTATTATCTGAACGATAAAAATAATGGTTGTTTACTATATCAAAAAGTGAGAAGGAAGAAGCCACTAATGATTCTTCAGGGATTTCAAAGTGGTAGCATGCCCACCAGAGCTACGTATTATGAAATACGAGTAAAGAAAACCAGTTATCAGTACAAAAACATTTAGTTTCAAGAGCCAAAGCTGGTTGCTTTTCCCAGCATGCAATTGTGTGTCCTAGATTTAGCTTCCAAGTTTAGCAACAGAGACCAGCCGAAAAGAACACTATTAAGTTGGACCCATGGACTCAGAAAAAAGAGAGAAATGATGCTTCTATGGAATCCATACGTTTTCATTTGACTTCAGTGATCCTTTATTTGCAAAGGACCTGGATGTAGATCTTTTCATCCCTCCTAATTGTTACTCCAACACTCCATAAACATTGAGCATGCAAAAGGGAAACCATAGACTATATATTTAGGGAGTGCTATGGTCAGAGAGGTGTTTTCTCCAAGAAAACGAAGCAGACAGCTTCTTTACCTTCAGGAGCAAAAGTCTGGCACATGACGGCAACAGCCATCACATTTCCTCTCATACTTCAATTAAAAAATTCTTGCTTCCTCATTAGGATAGCACTAGGAACTGCTGTCCCTGCTTGTGTTGCTCACCAAGCTCACCTACAGAAGGAAGTGGATGGCAGTGCAGGGCAAAGAAGGGAAAGACTTTGTCCTCCTCATTTCCCTTTCCAGTGCAAATGGCAGTGGGCTCTTGGATTTGGGGGCAAGCTGTGAGGGGGGGGAGTTTTGGGTGAACTGTGGGGTGTGTGTGTGTGTGTGTGTGTGTGTGTGTGTGTGTGTGTGACAATGACAGGGAGCGTGTGAAAGCCTGCCTGGACCCAGCCACTTGGCTGCCTGGACACTTGAGCAAACAGGCAGGTGGCAGTGGTAAAACAGGGAAGACTTGCCTGGGCCACCTGGCTGCCTGCTCACTCATCGACTTGCTCTGCCATCCTGCTCAATCGAGTCGTCTGCTTGCTTTTCTTGCTATTGGTCCATTTGCTATCATGCTATATACAGTTTGCATGGTCGCCTGTTGACAACCACACAAATGGCAGCGTGATGACATTTTCTCCTCACAAAAATACTAAGATAATAAGAAAACAGACAGTGATAGAAGAGAGAGGCAGTGATATCTTCATCCTAGATATTTTAATAAAATCTCCAAAATGCAGGGGTTTTTTTTTGTTTTTGTGTTTTTTTTTACAATGTGAAATTATTTCTGTATGGGATACTTACTTACTGACTCTCAGTACCTAATTGATTCTGACAAGCTGTATCTGGGGTTTCACATAGTCCATTGGGCTGTTAATCCATTTGCATTTTATAGGACTTTCTTTTTATTTTGCCAACCCCCTGCATGCATCATTTAAATACACACGGGTAGAGGAACATTTTAGCTGAGGACTCGATTTTGTTTCTGTGCAGTTGAAGAGCTTCAAAAAAGAATACACCAATCAGAAAATGTTATACCACCACCACCTCCTCCTCCTCCTCCTCCTCCTCCTCCTCCTCCTCTTCCTCCTCCACCTCCAAATCCAATAAGGTAAGTAAAATTATATACTTACTGATTCTTAACACTGTTTGCTTAGACAGAAGCCTGAGTGGCCAGGATGAAGGCGTTGCATTACAGCCCTGGCCTCCTGATAGTGACACTGCAACCACTTACTGAGGTGGCAGGGAGGTCAGAGCTGTGCAGGTGAGTGGCGGGGGAACTGAATTGTCCCCACAGGTGTGCCCTCACAGTGCCATGCTCCTCACCACCTCTCTCCTCTCCCTTTCCCTTCTGGTAAGTGGCAGCAGTGCTACAGCTGCATTGCCGTGATCTTCTCTGCCCGCTGCTCCTGGTCAGAAGTATATGATTTTAGGACAGGGGTCGGCAACATGTGGCCCATGGGCCAGAAGCAGCCCATGGAGGCCCACGGGCCACCCCAGAACCGAGCCACCCCCTCAGCAAGTCCTGGCACGCTGCGCTAACCCAACACAGGTCTCTTCCGCAGCTTCAGAAATCGCTTTTGTGCATGCGCAGATGCCAAAAATCGCTTCTGCGCAGGCGTGATTTTTTCCGGCGACTGGGCTTGTGCAGAAGCAATTTCTGGCATCACAGACATACACAGACACGATTTCCGGCGCTGCGCTGGTCCGACCCACAATCTCCGCAGGAGTGATCCGGCTCAGGTAAGGTAAACCTTGCCAACCCCTGTTTTAGGAGTTAATTATAAGCATATTGAGGATAAACATGCACTTTTGCCTCCTAGGAAGAAAAACAGGTTGGGTGACTGGATGAAACCAAATTCAAATACATATACTCAGTTCATATGTAATTTCTACAAATTTAACCTGTTGCATAACCCATTCTGCAGGACAATGAGGCTGTTAATACCTGTCTGCTTTGGGAGTTGGTGAGCTCTTTGCTGGAGGTGTTTGGTCAGAGGCTGGGCAACCATCTTTCAAGGATCCTGCATTATAACAGGAAGCTGGATTAAATGATCTCCAAGGTCCCTTCTAACTCTAAAATTCTATAATTATATTAATCATCCAATCTACTAGCAGTATATCCCGCTGCCTATATGCAGGTGATCTCAGGAATCAGCCATGCACTGCCATTAAGAAGTTTGGAGTTATTCTCTTTGTCTCAAAGCAAAATTATGACAGGTGGTTTACAGGGGTCCTGGGACATTGCATGAATCCAAACCCATTAGAACATAGTAATTGTTAGCTGCGTGTGCTTAGCATTCAGCAAGAACAGACATTATAACATAGGGGAAAAATTGTAAGGATGAATGCTTCCTTGCAATTTATTGTTCCAAACTTTCTGAACAAGAGTGGTTTTCAATACATGTATCAATGTGTAACTTAAATATGTGCAGTTTTAATGGAAACCTAGCCTGCCATAAAGCATCCAATTCAGTCACATGAATTCCCAAATAGCCCTGTTTTGTAAGCCTCCTGTTTCTACCTTCCTTTTGCCTCATGTGATTTGCTTAATCTTTTTACTCAGCCCAACTGCTTTATTTACTTCCAGTGCAATTTAGGTCTATTTGAAGAGAACAGCTACTCCGTTGATTCTTTGCATGCCATGCTCCCAGTGTGCTCAGTACTGTATCTCTTAAAAGCCTTTCTGCGGTATTCCAAAACCAGGCAGGAGTATAATCCGTTTTAAATCTATGAAGTGCTTAATGCAGAATAATATTCACACATGATCTAAAGCCTGGATGAAGGCACACTGTAGGTTCGCGTTTTCAACAACTGAATGAATGATATCTTAAATCATCATTATAAAGCTATTTATTGTCTGTTTTATTGTGTTTTTATATATGCTGTAAGGAAACCAAGCCAGACGGGTGGGATATACCGTATTTTTTGCTCTATAAGACTCACTTTTTTCCCTCCTAAAAAGTAAGGGGAAATGTGTGTGTGTGTTATGGAGCGAATGCAGGCTGCGCAGCTATCCCAGAAGCCAGAACAGCAAGAGGGATTGCTGCTTTCACTGCGCAACGATCCCTCTTGCTGTTCTGGCTTCTGAGATTCAGAATATTTTTTTTCTTGTTTTCCTCCTCCAAAAACTAGGTGCGTCTTGTGGTCTGGTGCGTCTTATAGAGTGAAAAATACGGTAAATAATAAAATTGTTGTTGTTGTTGTTTATATGCTGCTCATCTGACTGGGTTGCCCCAGCCTCTCTGGGCGGCTTCCAGAAAAATATAAAACAAATAAAACATCAAACATTAAAATGTCCCTCTGCCTTCAGATGTTTCCTAAAAGTCATATAGTTGTTTATCTCTTGGACATCTGATGGGAGGGTGTTTCACAGGGTGGGCGCCACTACCGAGAAGGCTCTCTGCCTGGTCCCCTGTAACTTCACTTCTCACAATGAGGGAACCGCCAGAAGGCCCTCGGTGCTGTACCTCAGTGTCCAGGCAGAATGATGGGGGTTATTATTAGTTATTTTTATTATTTTTTGTGTAACCTAAAACATTCCAGATCTAAAATTGATAACTGATTGTGGAAGATTTTTTTGCATGCTTTCTTACATTTGATGAGCGCAGTTACTAATAGTAGCTATATTTCCATCAGATGTCTGCTGGACACACTGATTAAATTATTATCGTAAAACTTAATTAACCCTTAACTCTTGTCTGGTTCCTGGTAGTGAGATTGAAGTTGGAAAGGGGTTTGATTCTAGCTTGGTATTATATACTAATAAAGAAGATATTAAGTGTTTGATGGGGAAAATATTTTCTCTTTTACTCCCTCCCCACACCCTAGACTTAGTCTTGTGTTCCTCCAACCATCTGTCTTATTTAGCAATTCTTTTATATGCATCTTCCTGCTGGTCTTTTAAATCTTTCTGAACTTTCATGTAGTTGATATACAAGCCATCTCATTTCTACACAAAACAATGTCCTTTAATTCTTTTGAGGTTAACACTGGCGTTTGTGTTTTCATTTTTAGTCTCTAATACGTCTCTATTCACAGGTCAAGTGGCTGTCTTTATGGGGGTGGGGGTAAGCTAAAAGGAATTCTGTTTATTCTTTCTCCTTCCATAAAGTATTGGGTCAGCTAAGTCTTATTAATAAGTCCAATATATATATATATATAAAATCACACCAATTACACCATTTCAGGGTGTTAAACTAACAAATTGTAAATTTGTTTTTGTAAAGGTGTTAAATTAGGAGATTGTAAAATTGTTTACTCACACTCACAAAAAAGGAATTTTTTTTAAGTGATCCATTAAACAAATTGAGTTATGTCCTGTTGTCAATGCAACACCCCATCATTTGCTCTCACTTGCTATGATAACATGATTGGCCAAAGAAACAGGAGTTATCCAGTTAATTGCAGTTGTTTCTTTACATGATAGAAAGTTTTAGGTGGCGAACAGACCAAACAGCCTTTTGCTCATGTACCTCTTCTCTTCTGTTGCCTTGTCAATGTATTTAAGTTTTGGTTAGGTTGCTTTTGTTTTTGTTTCTGTGGGATCAGTGGTGGAGCTTCATTCTCCGGCACCAGGGGGCGGAGAGCAGGCAGGGGCGGGGCGGGGCTGGCGTGCATCCTGGGGGCGTGGCGCCCAGCGCGGGCAGGCGGGGGGCAGCCGCGATTGGACCCCACCAGGATCGCGCTGCCAGGGACGGGGCGCTCCCCCTGCACGCCTCTTCCTCCACCAATGTGTGGGATGGGCTTACTTAAAAAGAATAAAAAGAGGCCATGTGCATGTACATATATGTTTGGAACCACGGTACTTGAAGAACCAACTGGTTTGTACAATCCTGCCCAAGAATTGAGATCTTCCAACTGCCTCTTCAGTGATTCATAAGCTGATAGTGTGTGAAAGGGCTTTTTCTGTGGTGGCCCCACCACTTCGTGGCCTCACTCTTTTCTCAATTTGTTCATATTTTATAGTGTGTGTTTGTTCTTATTTTTCTTGTTTTACTGTCAACTTCTCTGATCTCATGGAGGGAGAATGGAAAATAAATAATTTTAAATAGATAAATAAATGCATCTAGATTCCTTTTAAGAGAGACAGGGATAGGCATCCTTTCTGTCCATTATACTTGTAATAGACATTGCACTATTGTCACTGGCATACTTCACAAAGGATAAAATATGGTTGGGGCACACTTTGATCCTTTTTAACACAGAGAATGAAAATTGGTCAATTTCAATTTAATCAGCATGCAACCTGTCATGCAGGTTAGCCTTTATGCTTTGGAAGTGTTCTTGCCGTTCTCAAATGTGCTTATCCTCCAAACATTGCAGGCAATTGTGGTGGCTGTTTCAAAGATCACTGGATTGATTTATTCATTTGCCTGCCATTTAGCATTTTAAAAGGTGCTCAAGACATCCAGGTACAGACACATAATAATAACAACAGCTCCCCCTATTCCCCCCTTTAAGGCATGTTGAAAGCTTTTTGTATTAAAGTAAAAGGAAAGGAGGAAGGAATGACAGCAAACCTCTCATATTTGGTCAAATATTGACTTGGCAGTGCCTGTTTAAGATTAATATCATGCCTTGCAGATTGAACCAAAAGCATAGATAATGTGAGGGTTTTTATTTTCTGTTCTCATTTTGTTTGTTTACCAGTAGCCCTATTCCAGCAAATACATACTGTCGAAACGAGGGACAATATAGAGGCTCCCTGCTGGGTGGCATTGTTCTCTGGAGTGTAATGCGTTATGTTAACGTTCCTAACCCTTCAATTTTTTATTGTGTGAGAAGGCTTTATTTTGTCACACATGTCACGGTGCCATGTTACCTTTTAATATTCAGATCTTGAGTGTTTTGCACTATGCCTTGTCAACAGCAATCATGAAACAAATAATATGTTCTCTGTATTTTTTAAATCTTTTTTTTAAAGGAGGTGTGACATTTCTGCCTCTGCCTGGAAGTGTTTGAACACTCATGTCAATTAGAAAGCTTAGCTGTTTGTCGGTTAATGCTCTTTCCACAATGCATGTCATAGGATCAATGCATGTCATAGGAACAGGCCCCGATTCTACATGTGTTTGTTATGTCTTCTTGTCAAACGGGACTACGGGCAACTAAGCGTGCTAAGTTGGTTCTGAAAGTGCAGGTGTCAGGTTCAAGAGAAAGCTTGAGTGACTGTCTTCCATCTTTACTTTGTGAAAGGTCACTGATGTCAATGATTCGTAAGAAGTCTCATGCAAATAGCAGCATGGCGAAGAAAGAAAAGGCATCTCAGCAAGGCTCAGGTACAGCACATTTTCTTCCCAGCAAAATGAACCTTGTTCCTAGTTCAATAAGGTGATATCTGAGCTTTTCATTTCACTTCACACGGTGCATCATCGGAACTTTGGAACCTTTTTGCGTTAGAGGTAGTGATGGCCACCATCTTAGATGGGTTTAAAACAGGACTGGGCAAATTCATGTAGGATAAGGCTATCAATGGCTGCTAGCCATGATGACTATGCTCTGCCTACATGATCCAAGGTAGTAATGCTTCTGCATACCAGTTGCTGCAAACCATAGGAGGGAAGAGTGCTCCCGTGCTCGGGTCCTGCTGAAATCTGATTGGCCACTGTGAAAATGGGGTGATGGGCTAGATCAGGCATCCCCAAACTCGGCCCTCCAGGTGTTTTGGGACTACAATTCCCATTATCCCTGACCACTGGTCCTGTTAGCTAGGGGTGATGGGAGTTGTAGTCCCAAAACATCTGGAGGGCTGAGTTTGGGGATGCCTGGGCTAGATGGACCACTGGCGTCATCCAGCAGGGCTATTATGCTCCTGTGTTCTTGAATTGTAAGAACCATCTTTAGCCCTTTTCAGTCATTCAAGCAATGAGGAGGAGATCAGGGTTGTGTACACTAGCTTCATCCATATCCCAGTGCCCATCTCCCGTGGCCTTCCGCGTGTTGGAGGGCAAATGTGTGCAGCAGGGAGCCAATTTAGGGCAGTAGCTGTGTGTCTTCAGGTTCTGAACCACCATCTCCACAGTCTTCACTGTGGCAGCCCCTAATCTGTAGAACTCCCTCCCCACAGAGGTGTATCTGACACCTTCATTATACAGCTTTCAGTAAATGCTGAAGATGCCACCTGTTCACCTTGGCATTTGACACTTGAGATGTATATTTTTTGGACCCACCTTATTTTTGTAAATCAAAAACTGCTAGTAGAATTCCAGGTTAACTTGGTAGCAAGTCAAAGCATTGAGTGAGTAGTAGCATGAGCACCTAATATGAGCTGGCAAAGTGGCAAAGTAATATGAAATATATTAAAATAATAATTAAAAAATAACCATTTCCCTTCCAAATCCCATCCTTAATTCTAGCCTTATAACTTCTGTAGTACGGTTTGGAAATCAATATTCTTAAGCAGTGTGAGTCAGGAAGGCTCTTTCTGGCTCTTTGTTTTCCTCAATTTACAATGAAAGGAAGGAACCTCCTGAAAGAAAGTAATTTGACTTTTTTGTTGTTTTGCAACAGGAGAAGTATCGGATCTGAAGAGACAAGCTGTTGAAGAAATGATGGATAGAATTAAAAAGGGGGTTCACCTTAGACCTGTTAATCAGACCAACCGTTCTAAGACAAAGGTTTGTTAACAACTTGCGTGTAAAACATGCCGGGGGGAGAACTGTGTTATTATAAAATACATGCTCTGTTCCAGGAGAGTAGAAGGGTCCTGAAGCTCCTCTAGTGCAGTGTGCTTCAACCTTAAATCCCAAAATATTGTTGGACTATTGATAGATAAACTGTAGGTTGCTAAAAAGTAATCAGAGGGGGAGGCTCACTCTCCCAACTATCTCTTCAAACTGACCCCTAGCTAATGCCTGTGAAAGCAAGAGCTTGCCATAATCTGTCAGAAGGAATGGGGTTGATTATGTTGGGCAGAAGGAAAAGAGGGTAACAGCCGCTGAGGCACTCCAACCTGGATTGCAGAGTTAATGCAGCATTATATAACTAAGTTATTAGACCACACTCATTTATTTTCCCTTTCAAGGGGAGATGACCCAGGCAGATAGCAAAATAATAACTTTTTTGAAAGTTTCCCCAAACCATTTTCTACTATTAAGGTTCATCTGATTTCTATTACTTCATTCAGAAGCAGTCACTGGGCAAGATCAAATTTCTGCGCTAGCTTCTTGCAAGGTAGGTCACTGCTGCTTACTGAGGTGGGGGGGAGGTCAGTATTGTGCAAACACACCAGCAGAGCCAGTTCAGTGCTCCTGTCAGCATGTTTGCACCACACCAACCTCCCTTCCACCCCACCCCACTCCCTCCTAGTAGGCAACAGGAACCCACCTACTGGGAAGCTAGCATAGTCTAGTGAAAGAAATATCCTCTTCCAATATCCTTGCCTTGCCTCCAGTTTTCCTCTTTTGCACGCCTTAAGTGCTTTAGTCAATGTCTGCAAAATCGCATTACCTATATGGGTGTTTTGTTTTCATTTACAGCCAGAAGTACCCAAACCCTCTGATAGTGCAATGAAAGAGTTAAAGGGAATTCTGGTAAGAAAAAGAGAGAAAACAACAACTTTGCATTATACTTTGTGTCCTTGTGTCATTGCTGAAAAGTGCCCCAAGGAAAACAAGATGGATGGATGTAGACAGATGTTCAGAATTATGTTTTCTTTTTCTTACTTAATTATGCGAGCTCATGTGACATTCCAAAGATTTCACCTAGGGATGGGGAAGAAATTCAGATCAAATGACATTTAATGGTGAACCTACCTAATTCTCACTTTCTGAAACAATTCACGAACTGAAACATGCCCATCATTCAAATTTTGTGCTTCTCCAAATTTTACAGTGCAGTTTTCCAGCCAAGCAATGGGTATAAAAATTAATATACTAGGGTAAAATGTGTATATAATGCATACATGTGTGAAAATAACATTAAAAATGCACTATATCAGGGGAAATTGCATGCAAAAATGCGTACATTAGGAGAAATCAGCACTTACATGCTGAGGAGACCTTTTTAAAAAATCACAAAGTAATATGGAAATGTGGAGTACCTAATTTAAGATTGGGGGAAATGAGAAACTGAAATTGACAGATTTACGCCTGCCTAATTTCAGCTGAATCTTAGTACCCGGTCTAATAGATCTAACTGGTTCCATGCAAATCGCTTCACTATGAAAAGTAAAAGGAACACTCGATAAAACCAACTTCTAGTGCATTTGCCAGGCTAGTCATTAGCACAGTGAGACAGGAAAAATAAGGTTGGGAGGTGTAAAGCTAAATCCTTATATGCATATTGTTACTGTGCTAATTATGCATTTTGTGTAGGTCTCCGTATAATTGTTGTAAACAAAGTGATATTAATTTGTTCCATTTCAAGCTTGATGTAAAACACCTTACTTTATTTCCTTTGCTACTAGATCTGTAGCATGAGCACAATAACAAGGAGTTACGTGTTAATAATATGCCTCCTCTGTTAAATTCAGAATGCTAACAAAATGCAGGATTTAAATTAATTGAAGGAAACATTGCGAATTAAGTGCTGTTTTGCTGAAAACTTGAAAGATGTGCCAATTTTAAGAATTAATGTGCTGCATTTTCCATTTTCTTCCCAATAGTCAAGAGAAGCATGAGCACAATTGAGGTTTTACATGTGCAGGCTGGGAAATGCAGTTTAGTATTGGCCCTGCACCAGTTCCATGGGGAAGGAGACTAACTCTTCCCATTGAAGGATTTGCAGTTGTGTGGCTTAATACATGCTCTCAACACATGCCCATTGGCTGGTTTGTGCCTGCCATGGAAGGTTAACTGGGTAGATCACACTTCATTGTGTGATATGGTGATTCCTACTTCCTTAAAGGAAGCAGTGATATGGCCACTCTTGAAAAAAACCAACCCTGGACTCAGAGGTTTATTCCAGCTGCTGCCCAATTACCCTTTGTTAGGCAAGGTGATTGAGATGGTGGTAGGTATTCAGTTACAGATGCTCTTGGATGAAGCTGATTATCTTGACCCATTCCAGCTCTGAGCTCAGACCAGAATTAGCCTTTGTATTCCTGATAGAGGACCTCCTTCAAGAGAGGAACAAGGGTGTGTAACCCTGATGATTCTGCTGAATCTGTTGGTGGCTTCTGATGTCATTGATCATTGTAACATCTTGGACTGTCTCTATGAGTCAGCAGCTGAGGGCACTGTTTTATGGTGCTTTCACTTCTGCTTACAGGGTCGGTTCCAGAAAGTAGCATTAGGTGAGTGTGCCTTAACACTCTGTTAGTTGATCTCTGGGGGACACTGCACAATTTTGTCTCCAGTGTTATTTGATGTCTATATGAAGCTGCTGGCGGTGGTCATTGGGAGAACTGGGGCAAAGTGTCACCAGTATGCAATAGTATATCCTGGTGCCAAGCCATTCGTAGGTTGAAAGCATCAGCTTGAATTGTACATAGAAACAAACAAGGAGTGAATTTATTATTATTATCATTAATTCTGTTGAGATAAGTTCCAAGTGACCAGTTCCAGTCAATAATCAGGCTACTATATTCTGAGCCAACTGGACTTTCTATGTAGTCTTCAAGGGCAGCCCCATGTGTGAAGAATTTTTGGTAACCAAGTCAGGATTACATGCTTTCCAGCAAATTTTGATGTATGGTTATGGCATCTTCTGTTGACTGTCACATGGCCGAACATTTTACTGATATATTTTATTTTAGGAAACAATGAATACATCTGCAAGTTCAAGAAGCCTAAAATCCCTTGAGGCAGATAGTAATGAAACAGAATTAGAAAGAATTTTGCGGCTCAGGAAGGTGACGACCGATCAAGAGAATAGCAGTAAGTTACCAAGATATTTTCTGATCCTGCAACTGAATTATGTTATCTCTTCAATGCTGTTCCAAAGGTCTAATTGCCTTCCTTTTGAAACCTTTAACATTTCAGTCCTCATTAATTGAGTGAGCTCTGATTGCTTTCCTGGCTGATCTATGGTCTCATAAGAGCTGCACTCTAACATCCCCAGCATTGTTCAGTAAAGCCATTCTAGGCAACCTTCTGCTCTGAAGTTCAGACACTGACACTAAAGCCATTGTGATCCTTTCCACCGATATGCTTTCTTTCCAATAGGTTCGTAAATTAACACCTGTGTATCATAGGAACAATAACTGATAGTTATCATATAAGCTTGTACATCAGGAATATGATTTCAGACTCATAGGAAATAAGAAAACCTTATTCATTGTTCCAAGAGTAGTTGTACATACAAATAAAATGCTAATTATTTTCCAAAGTGAGCACATCCAGATAATACATCAGGGAAGAAAACCTTGAAAAAGTGAGTGTGTGTGTGTGTCTTAAGTGGCACAATCTTCAATAGAAAGTGGTGCATATAGTGATCAAAATTGATCTGGACTAATTAATGCTTTGGCACAATGCCACTCTATAAGTGTATAATAATGTAATTTAATAATGCAGATGCTGTATTCTTTGGGTTTTAGATCCAATTGGAATATTGGCTTCTTCTGAATCCAAATCTATGCCAGTGTTGGGTTCCATTGAAACACAGTCTGGATTGAACAAGAAAACTTTGGCAGCAGAACTTGGTCCCAGTTCTTTGGGGTCAGATGAAAAGTGTCACAAAATGGTTGAAAGCACAAGTTCCGACATTCAGTAAGTAGTTTATGTTTGTTGATGATTCCCCTTGCAATGAGATCAAAAGTCATTAGGTGTTTCAAAACCCCTCCATTCAAAAATAGGGGTTGACATTGCAAGAAGATCTAGACGTGTATGACACAGCAGGTATAAAACTATGACTTCCAAGCACAGTGCAGAAAATAACATTTGCATTTTTAAAAAAGATTGTGATTACTGCTCATATTCACTTGCATGATTTCTGTACCAAAGTAGACTGAAGCACTTGCATATCTCAGCTGTGGAAACTGGGAGCATGAAAAATTATTCCAGTGCTAGATCTTAGAGCCTTCTAGTTAATGCCCTAAGTTTAATCTAGTTGAGATAACAAAGGCTTTGGGCATTACTCTCTGTGAAGATGGAAAACTGAAATATCGCTCTTTATATCATTAAATGTCATAATATGCTGTCTCTTATTTGTATTTCATTTTTCAGTGTTTGGGATGTATACATGTTCCCATTTAAATGTCAGCTGCAGTTCTTGGGTTGCCACAGTCCTGAATAACTGAATTATACTACTGCAAATTAGCCATTAACTAATTAGACAATATATCTCAGCAGCAGCAATGCATATTCAATTTTGCCAGGAATATGTGTATTTTCTTAGCCTAAGATGCAGCTGGCAATGCAACTTTTAATCAGTGGTAAACAGAATGCTGAGCTACCTGGAGGTGTTGTGATCAAGAGCTTTGAAGCTTCCATCTGTTTGGCTGAATAAATCCGCAGTTTGGTTTGCCCAAGGTATTACCTGACTGTACATTTTCTTTCAAAGTGCTGTTTAATCATCAAAGAGTTAATCCTGCTTCAGAAATGCACACTTCAGACAGATCCGGTCGAGGGTCAGTTTGTTTTATAACAATCCCCAGCTTTCTATAAACTTCTCTGATGCTTTCCGTTTGGTCCTCTTTCCAGGATGTTAGGCAGTTTATTACTTAAAGAGGAAAAAAGGAAATAGGTGAGACAAATCAGATCAGCAAAATGTTATAATCATGGTTAATTAAAGCTCTGATTTCCTGTTCTATCAGTTGAAAAAGGAACACCTATTCTCAAACAACTGCATCTCATAGTTCAAAGGGGTAAATCTCAGCAAATGAAGTGGAAATTCAATTCACGCCTATTTTTGTGTGCTTCCTTTATCATTCGTAAAAACAGGCTAAAAACCTTATTTCTTATTTCTCTTGCTTTTATGGTTTTCATTTCATTCTGTTTTAAATGTGTGTTTTTTAAAGTATGTTTTGAAAGGAAATAGCTCTCTCCAGTTGTATTTTGTTTCTTCTCATTCACACATCCCTGATAAAAGATTACCGAGTTTCTATCTTTCCGATTAAATGTGTTTAATTTGACATCATTATTGTTGCATTTGTGAGCCACTAGTGAAACACAAAGGCAATTTAGTTCAGGGATGAGTTGTTGTTTTTCTGTGAACTACGGCTTTGTTCATCTGTGGATTTCCACTGCTTTGGATGGATAATGTTAATCAGAAGATTCTACTTACTCTTGCTACCTTTTTTGTCTCCCTTTTATTCTAGTAAAGTAAGTGGAAATTGCATTTGCAAGGAAGGAAATGAAATAATTGCGGGGCCCAAGGTCTCCCAGAATGCGTGATGAATTGACCATGAAAAGGATCTTGTATCGACTGTCATAGTTGTTAGGAGCTGTAAAAGCATACGTGAAACTCTGTTGATTATGCAGCTTGCCTATTCAGCAACAACCAAAAAGGACACCTTCTTATTTAAAATTATATGCTTAAAAAGTAAAACAAGTGTCACTGGCTTTGTAGAGGCGATGTAGTCTTGGTGTGACCTAATCATGCAGCCAGTAGACAATGGCCATTTTATGAAACTGCTGAATTGTGGGTCCATTTGGCAATGTTTACCTGGGGCAATCTGAGCAGCCTTTCAGAATCTACTGCTAACTAGGGGAGTACCCCTCTGTGGGGGCTACAAAGAGCAACTGCTACAGGGGCCACTTAGCTGTTACCAGAACAAGAGGACACTGATCACTATTTTTAAGAATTGCATAGTCTAATTTATATTTATAGATACACATTAGAAATAGTCTGTTGCAGAGGTGCTAACGTTGTTGGACAGTTTCAAGACCTGATTTGCTTTCAGCTGAGTGTCCTTAGACGGCCCCTTTAGGCTAAAGTAGCTGCCAAACATGGGAATTTTGGGGTTAGGGCTTGCTTTCTTGTAGAACCTTTGCCAATTTAAACCCTCTTGGGTTTGCTCAAATGCCTTATAGTCACATTATCTTGTTTTGTACTTGGCTGCCTTGATTATATGAGCATTCCCTGCATCTATGTTTGCATGAGTCACTGTTTAAATATTGTAGGCGTGTATAATTGTACAAAACTCTGTGGCACTTTTTAAAGAGTGGCAAAGAGAAATTGTTGACATCCATCTACCTTGCAAGACGATGGATGAAGTCAAACCGCTGCATTAGCAGCACCAAAGTGACTTCCTCAGGATGCAAGCCTGGGCAGTGTGTATGGAAGTACTGGGCTCTCTAGTCGACAAGACCCCCTCTTGGCCTCACTGATGTGGTCCAAAGGAAAGCAGAGGAGTATGTTTGGCACCACCTTGGCTGCAGGAGTTGCCAGAACGAGGCATACAAGGCGTCACCCACTCAATCTGCAGAGCTTGTCATTGCAAGCAGGAGAAGTCCCTAACCCACCAAGGGTTTGAGACCCATCAGCTACTCTCACCTGGTTTAGCCGGCCAGTCGAAGCCATTCCCAGGGTGTGGCCACTTTCACATGCTGACAGCTTCTAGGAGCCACAGGTGAGAGCTGTGTGCAGGGTGGGGACCAAAGGTGGAAAGACTTCCCCAAAAGGAGCACAACATGTCCCCCACCAGAGGTACTACTGCTCCCCTAAGACCCCATACATCCCAGGGAGAGAGAGAGAGCACACAATGATATATAGCAAATAAGCACTGTAGTAGGATGACAGAACCATTCTGACAAAACATGAGTCAAGCTTTGTGACGTGAGGACAAGGGACAGATTCCGCATTACACTGAACACATAGTTTGGTGTTCCATGATTCTTCAAAAAGCAGTGTGGTGGGGGCAGTGGCGTAGCAACAGACCATTGTTGTTCAGTTTTTTTTAGGGCAGCCGCTGATTTCAGGGATGGGAAATGGCTCCGCTGCCCGCAAGCTCCCTTGCTGCCCAGAATCCCAACCCCCAACACACAGTAGCCACCGTGCCGCACTACAGACCCCCGTGGCACCCAGTGGACCACCCCCACCCCCCGGCTAGCTACACTACTGTGTGGGGGTGATCAGACTGTAGTGAGATGGGAGAGATTTTATTTTCACCCTTCCTCCTTGGACTGTGATGCTGATAAAAATTTGAACCAGTAACAGTGTGTCCCTGTCTCCACAGTCCTGATTGTTATCAGATTGCACTGCAGCTGCTTTTTAAAAATAATTTTAAAAACAATTTATTTATTTTTTAAACTATGGCCTGGTTTGAGATAATCATTTCCTTGGTTTATGAAGCTGACCAGTTTAAACAGGCCAGTGTGTTTAACATAGCATATAGTTTGGCTGTTAGATATAAACTTCAGAAGGCTTATTTCTAATTCATTGTGACTAAAATATACAAAGGAGAAGCAAAGGCTAAAGGAACTACCATGTTTAATGGCAAATTTGTGCCCACTTATGTATACTTAAGCCAAAGAAGAGCAGTTGGATTAATATGTTACAGCATGGAATTGCAGTATGGAGTTGATTAAAGAGCAGCATGCTATAATTTCAGAAAGGCTGTTGTGAAGTCAAACAACTCCTTTTATTACTACTACTTCTGTGGGAAGGACAGTGGGTTAAAGTTGCACCAGAACAGATTTAGCTTTCATTGTAACAAATATTGTAAGAGTACTTGGTCTGTTGTCCCAACAGCTTGTACGATCTTCTCCTGGGTGTTTTTCCAAGAAAGACCAGAGTAGTGTTGTTGCATGTTGCTGTCATGATATTACTTCAAAGCCTGGGGGGGGGGGAAATTTCAGAAATTGTCAGCTGCTTTGTAAGCAACAACAGGAATGGACAAATCATGTGCCATGTCATTGTATTCCTCCATTTATTTAGTGTTCTTGCAATTTGCTCTATTTTTCAGTGCCTAGAAAAACTTGTAATGCTTTTGCACTGATTTTGGCAGCCTGGAAAAAACTGGTGATTATCCTGGTTGTTGTTATATTATAAAAAGAGGGCTAAAAGATACAGATTGCAGTTTAAGAGAAGAGTTAAGACATTTCCCCGTTGATTTATGCATCCCAAAGCATGAACACTGCAAGTTTAGGTGCCTGCCTTAACTTTCACGCCTCATAAGCAGCCAAACAGTCTTGCCTAATTCTTCTTGCTTACAGCTTAACCTCTGCAAATCCATGGTTTTTCTTTTGGTCTTTTGGCCACAATGTGCTTCCACCTCCATGCTGAGAACACTGAATGAAGCCCTCCTTTTGCACTGACCACCCTACTTTTCCAATATGCGTTCATTTAGGTTAGAGAGAAAGCTTACGTAAGTAAATTGCATATTTTGAGGGAAGAACAAAGTTGATTGATGGAGCATGCAAAAGAAGGAGGCATGACTTGAGGGAGATGGGCACTGGAACATGTATCTGTTTCATAACAAGCCGACATGCAAGTCAATAAAGGAAGAGATCTGCTAAACCACACATACTAGTTTGCAACAGGTTGGCACTATTTCAAAATAAATGAATATTTATTTCAAAATAAATAAATTCAATTTTTAGAATTTAAAAGTAAAGTAAGTCTGCTAGTCTTATATGTTCAGATATCCAATCTCATTTATTTACAGTCCACTGTCCACTAACTCAAAGTCACAGAAAGTGAAATACTTTTAAAAAGAAAGAAAGAAATCAGAAAACAGTCACAGAATATCTTAAGGAGAATTGTATTGGCTTGGATAGTTACTTAGCTATTTTTTCATTCATACACAAGATTGAATTTTGCAGCTTAAGATAAGCTTTGCATGAGGTTTGCTGTCAGTATTAAGAATTTATCATTAAAGTCCGCTGTACATTTGAACCCAGCTCCCATGCTCAACCCAAGTTGCAGAGGAAGTGCTTTAGGGATGAAAGACCAAGAGAAAATACCAGTGGATGGAGGCTAGGTTGTGTATAATACGTGAGACCTAATCCAATTGTTCTCTGCAAAATTAAACACAGCAGGAGTTTCATTTAGGCAGTTTCTTCAGAGAAACTAGGTGCTAATTTTGTTCAGTGTGGAACAGTTCCTGACGTTCCTGTGGTGTATGTACATGGACGGGAAAGTTGCTGTATCTTGCTCTTCCAACCTTCCCCCTACCCCCTTCCTTTTACTTAGTACGTTCTCTGCACTTAGTAAACATTTCCATGTAGTAGAGGACTCGGTTAACAGAAGAAGCCACATATTGGGTAAGGTTTAATCTGATGATTTTATACAATTAAAGGATTTTCTCTTTCCCTTAGCTGTAATCTTAGCACCACTGAATTGTCTACTGGCACTGCAGGAAACAGCTCAGCCTTAGAGAGAGTCAACTACAAAGGTTTTCTGTGTGCAGTTTGTGCATGGGCAATTAAGCTTTAACAACAAATTGGAAAGAACAACAGGATGTGCTGGAAGTTGAGAATCTTCTTCCTTAAAAGATTGATGCCTTGTGGATGGCGACAGAAGGGTGCATAGATACATCAGAAACATGCTTGAAAACTGAGCAGTTTCAGCATCTTCTCGCTGCTCCTTATTGCATGCCATACAATGGCTAGAAGAAATCCTAAGAATATTTCTTAAAAATGAGATCTAGCACAAGGTCTCCAATGTTGTGTCCCCATTCATATCCACCTGTCTATGCTGCAGGAGCCCTTAGCATTTCTGCTCAGTATTTTGTTTATGTATCTAATGTGTTGTATAAGTACTGCTCAATGAGATTACTCCCGGGTAACCCAGGAGCCTGTTACTTCAAACAGTAATACCCTGATGGCTTGTAATCAGTACTAAGCATAGAACTCTATGGGTCTGACCCAGGGGGTCTAGCTGGTGCAAAATGTTGTGGCTAGACTGCTGGTGGGGGCAGACTATGACCAGCACATAGCTCCAGTACTCAAAAGTCTGCAATGGTTGCCAGTATGCTACCAGTCCAGGTTACAAGGCCATTAACAATTTGGGTCCAGGGTGCCTCAAGGATTTCCTGATCCCCAATGTCCCTGTCCAATCATAGAGGCCTTTTGGGGAGGAGGTCTTTGGGGGAGTCACTGATAGTGGTCTTCCGTGGCTGAGATGCACGATTCATATTCACCAGGAGCTATGTGTTTTAATAATTCCAAGGTGACAAATTAGTTTCTAGTTCCCTTTGTAGGATTGGAATTAATGCACTCTGGAGGCTTTACAGTCAATGGAGATATCCCATAAACATCAGATAGAGAACGTTGCTCTAGACTCTAGAGCAAGATATGACAGTGTTTCCATTACTTCTACAAATTATAAAGGCCATTTGTCAGATTGGCATGTATACTGGAGAATTGTTTCATTTTTTTTAATGTTTCAGTTTCAGATTGTAGTAAAGCAAATGCTGCATCAAAACCAAGAGCATTGCGTATGATGGGATGCCACATGAAAGGCTGTATAAAAATACCTAAATAAATCTAAGGCACACATATTCCTTAGCTTATGCTGTTGTGTTTGCTGTTTGGATTAACTCTTTTTGTTTGCATGAAAATGGTGGACAGGTGACCTATAACCCTGATGCTCATGCGGAGTACTGTCTTACCACTTTTCCTTTACACGTTTAATGATTTGTGTTATCTTTTGTGATGTATAAGTCCTTGCACTGAGAATGGCAGCAGGTGTTTGAAATTCTTGACTGATAGCAGTTATTATTAGAATATTTGTGTGAGCTTACACAGTAAAACCCCAAGCTGTTACTGTTTATCTTGTTAATTATGTCTTTAGTTCTTAATTCAAAGGTTAATAGCATTTAGCTGATGTTTAAAATCTGGACTGAGTGCTGCTGCCATTACATAAACGGGAGACTGTATCCAACCTGTCTTCTTCCTGCACAACTATTAATTTGTGTTATCAATAGAGTAGGCACAGAGCTAGAAGTTAAGACTCTCTGTCACTTCATATCTGACTTTACAAGTACTAGTTAAACACTATGCCATACAAACTGGTTTATAGGTCAAAAAACGCCTGAGTGATCCTTCATGGCAATACAGCGCAGACTTGTTTTTTCTCCTCCCAACTGCCCTCCCCACCAAAATAGTCTGCACAGATAGCATTTTTTAAAATCAGTTTCATTTCAGCTGAAACTTATTCCAGAACAGAAGAGCAAAGTTTCACCAATGCTGCTGAGATTTTTCTGGTCTGAAGTAAGGGCTGAGTGCAATCCCACTATGATCTGCTCCTGTACAAATTGTGTTCAGAACAATAAAGTACCACTGACAGTTACAATAAAGCTGAGCGGATTGTACTCTTTTATACAGAATTTAAAAATCTGTTTTGCACTGTGTCGTTAAGCTGTGCCAAATTTCAGCTCAGGATACAGTGTGGTAAGTCAGCAGTAAACACTTGAGAGAGATTTTATGGTTTTTAACAATAATATTGCACTGTAAATAACAGCAGTTGTGTAAAAAGGGGACTTGGGGGCGGAGATGCACCGAAGGAACCCTGAGCGGCAATTTCTTATTTTGTGCTGGTACATAATCACTGGGTTTTGCCATTAAACTGTGTTATAGTGACAGACTTTAATCTCCCATTTTTCTGTCCTCAAAGGTGATAAATATGATTGCTCTGTTATCCTTTTTTATTATTGTAAATGACACAGGCTTCACACTCTTTGGCAGTGCATCAGCCGTTGGATTGCTGCCATCCACTAATGCAGGCCCCCTGTGGAGATCCCAATGAAGAATTATACTCTGATTCACCAGATTGTGTTAAATAGTCCAGCTGTTGAGATTTTGAAAGATGGTTACCTCTAAAGTGATTTATTTTTTTAAAGACCTTGGCATTTATGGCTTGGACCATTTTGATAGTGTTGGGGCAATCAGCTTTTCAGATGTAGCATTTTCTAAAATAACACTTCTTGTTGTTTATGTCACTTCCAAAGTTTCATTCACGGTGATGTTGGGGGGGGGGGGAACCTGTTCCACTTTCAGCAAAAAAACAAAAATAAGCACCAGGCAGAATCTGCATAAAATAAGACTTTGGGATTTGAATAATGGCCAAACGGACTTGCCAAATGGATCGGCTAGAGACAGGTTCTGAATTAGTTAGTCTCAAGTTCCAGTGTTTGGTGTGATTGTGGTGTATTTAATTTGAACCATGAAGATCACAGAGGAAGAACAAGGTTTTGCTGTTATAAAGTAGCAATTTATTGCTGAAGAAATCTGGCACCTGAACATAAAATTCTGCAAGGATGACAATTGGTTATTTCTGTGATCTGGCTTTCTTTCTTTAAAACTGTTGGGCTTTACGGCTTTCCCGTCAAATCAAATACAAAACAGTTGAAATGGCAGCATTTCTATTTCACCTTGCCCTTGCTGAGTTACCTTCCTTCCTGAACAATTGCCCAAACTGCTCCAATAATAATTGCACCAATCACATCAATTTCGTTCTCCCCAAAGGATTCTTCTTGTTCTTTCCAATACTTATAGCTTCTTGGCAGCTACCATATTCTGCCCTCAAAATAGCCAAATAATCTGTACTTAGTGCTTTTGAAGTTGGGATGCAAGCCAGTTAGTATGTTAATGATTTCTTCCTATATTTACATGTTGCTTTGTGCTTCCAGGTCATCAACCAACATGGGGCTTAAAAATAAGGTTGCTGGTACAGAAAAGGAAGCAGAATCCATGGTACTACTGAATCCTGAGAAAACCAAAGAGCACACGCCTGGACATGTGAATCAAGACAAGGGGACTGAAGAAAAAGGTCAACAGCTTCATAAAGATGCTAGCGTTGGGAAAACAAAAGAGACAGACAGCTCTCATTGCTAATTGATGTGCTAAAAGGCATTAACTTCTGGAAGTTCCTTTCAGTGAGCGTCAGTTGTTTCATTTATGTGTACTGGGAAGGGCTTAATTCTGTAGGGTTGTATCCAATTTAGTTGTACTCAGAGTAGATCCTTTGGGTTGGATTCAGCTAAGTTGTTGCAGTAGCAAAAACCAATGCAATAAGTCTCGCTAGCACAACAAGGACTTCTCCCACTGTGTGCCCGCTGCTACCTCCCCAAATCTGCTCAGGTCAGGAAACCCCAAGAACAGCACAAGGGGAGATCATTCCATCTGGCAAGCAAAAATGCTTGCACTGGAACAATTTCCATAGTGCAGCCTGGAATTCTACACATTGAAATTAATGGGTATAAGTAACTTACGTCTATTAATTTCAATGGGACTACTTGGAGTAGTGCTTAACTGAATTCAACTCCTCCTAGTTTCTAATAATGTAACCATAATTGTTTATTGAAATGACCTTTGACTTTCTCCTGTAGCAGCAGGGAAGTTTTTACTGAATTATCGTATTGGGTTTCTTTCTTAAATTATGCAGTACATCAAAATTTATTTTGATATTATTTTATATTGATGCCTTGTTTAGGACTGAAAGCTCACCAAAACTGATAGATTGAGCTTTATTTAGGTAATCACAGAAATGCACTTCTACTGATAGATGCAGCCACAAATCAGTTTTAGAAAAGGAAAGATGAACATAACTCACCTTAATAAGAAAAGATATAAGTGAGCCTTTTGGCCATCCATGTAGTCTCTTCACACAAGCAATCCAACCAACCAGGAAGTTTTTCCTTAATTAACAGATCTGGTTAACAGATTTGGAACAAGCCAGGGTGTTGAGCTGCATTTTGTTGTTGTTCATTGAGGATGTATGTGCAGCCAAAAGGCTTGTCCCAAATGTACTGGGGACTTCTCTGCAAGACTTATGAAATTTTGAGCTACCACCTGATTAAAAGGGTCTTCAGCTACAGTCTTGTGCATTCACTAGGCTGTAAGTCCCATTAAAAATAGTAGAACTGAGCACAAATGTTTAGAACTGCACTGTTAGTCAATTGTATTGCTTTTAATATATCACTGTTTGCATATATCTGCATATGGCGAAGAGGCACAGTTTTTAAAAGAAAAGGTAGATTCTCTTGGTTATTAGGTTATATACAAATATGTTGTAGGAGATATCATCATAAAAGACACATTCCTCCTTCTGTTTCATGGGGAATGCCAGTGGTGCTTTTTAAAAGTTCTGTACTAAATTAGTTATTTTTTAAGCTGTTCCCTAATTAGGGCACCATTTTCAGTCATTCAACAATGCAATTCTGTGCATGTCTGCTCATAAGTTTTTCCATTGATTCATTGGGGTTTACTCTTAGGTAGGTGGCTACAGAATAACACCCTTAAAAAAATGCACAAGAGTTTATGCAATTTCCATTCGTTTCAAAGAAGCTTCTACAGGAAAAGTCCCCAATGGATTCATACCCACATAGCTATACCTCAGTAGCCCAAACGAATTTTATATACCGTATTTTTCGCACCATAGGACGCACTTTTCCCTCCTAAAAATCAAGGGAAAATGTGTGTGCGTCCTATGGAGCGAATGCAGGCTTTCGCTGAAGCCTGGAGAGTGAGAGGGGTCGGTGCGCACCGACCCCTCTCGCTCTCCAGGCTTCAGGAAGCTATCCGCTAGCCGTGGGAGACCCAGCTCTCCCACGGCTAGCGGAGCGCTGCATTAATCCCAAAGCTTGGGGCGTGCGGAGCTCAGCGCGCCCCAAGCTTCTGGGTGCAAGCAGGGTCTCCGCTAGCCCTGGGAGAGCCGCGCGGCTCTCCCAGGGCTAGCGAAGCACTGCGGTAATCCCGAAGCTTGGGGCGTGCGGAGCTCAGGGCGCCCCAAGCTTCTGGGTGCCGGCAAGGTCTCCGCTAGCCCTGGGAGAGCCCCACGACGTCGCGCGGCTCTCCCACGGCTAGCGGACCGCTGCGCTAATCCCGAAGCTTGGGGCGTGCGAGCTCAGCGCGCCCCAAGCTTCTGGGCGCCGGCAAGGTCTCCGCTAGCCCTGGGAGAGCCCCGCGACGTCGCACGGCTCTCCCACGGCTAGCGGACCGCTGCGCTAATCCCGAAGCTTGGGGCGTGCGAGCTCAGCGCGCCCCAAGCTTCTGGGCGCCGGCAAGGTCTCCGCTAGCCCTGGGAGAGCCCCGCGACGTCGCACGGCTCTCCCACGGCTAGCGGACCGCTGCGCTAATCCCGAAGCTTGGGGCGTGCGAGCTCAGCGCGCCCCAAGCTTCTGGGCGCCGGCAAGGTCTCCGCTAGCCCTGGGAGAGCCCCGCGACGTCGCACGGCTCTCCCACGGCTAGCGGACCGCTGCGCTAATCCCGAAGCTTGGGGCGTGCGAGCTCAGCGCGCCCCAAGCTTCTGGGCGCCGGCAAGGTCTCCGCTAGCCCTGGGAGAGCCCCGCGACGTCGCACGGCTCTCCCACGGCTAGCGGACCGCTGCGCTAATCCCGAAGCTTGGGGCGTGCGAGCTCAGCGCGCCCCAAGCTTCTGGGCGCCAGCAAGGTCTCCGCTAGGCTAGCGGAGACCTTGCCGGCGCCCAGAAGCTTGGGGCGCGCTGAGCTCCGCATGCCCCAAGCTTCGGGATTAGCGCTCTGCTAGCCGTGTCTAGGCTGCAGATAGCAGCCTGCTTCCCGGAGCGTCGGGCGCCCTGAAAGCAGAGCTGCAGGCGCTTCGGGAACACATCCGCAGCATGGGGAGGCTTGCAGGAGTTCCCCACAGGGCTCCCCACGCTGCGGATAGCAGCCTGCTGCCTGGCGGGTGGGGCGCCCTGAAGCAGAGCGCCCCTCACGCCAGGCAGACATCCGCAGAGTGGGGAGCCTTGCAGGAGTTCCCCACAGGGCTCCCCACGCTGCGGATAGCAGCCTGCTTCCCGGAGTGTCGGGCGCCCTGAAAGCAGAGCGCCTGGCGCTTCCGGAACACATCCGCAGCGTGGGGAGGCTTGCAGGAGTTCTCCGTAGGGCTCCCCACGCTGCGGGTGGCAGCCTGCTGCCTGGCGGGTGGGGCGCCCTGAAGCAGAGCGCCCCGCGCCCCGCGCGCCAGGCAGACATCAGCCAGCCCCACAAGCTCGGGGGACAGCAGGGAGGCGCAGCGCCACTATCCCGCTGTTCCTCGACCTGGTTCGGTTTCCCTGACCTGCTTTTGGGGGGGAATAAAGGGGAAAAAATTCCTTTATTTCCCCCCAAAAAAACTAGGTGCGTCCTATGGTCCGGTGCGTCCAATCGTGCGAAAAATACGGTAAGGACTATTTTATCCATCTTACCCATAACAGCTGTACTTAGATACTTTTGAAAAGCAAAAACTCGGTAGTTCTGCCTTATAACAGGATCTTGTCAGCAGTGTCCCCTTGAGTATTGTTTTGTTGTTGGCAGGATCAGTCAGAGAAGTTGGCAATAGCAAGCTGATGCTTCCAAGGCATGGCTTTCAATGACACTGAATTCCTTTATGAAAAAGCAAGTAAATGAGGCCTATTTCCTTTAAAATAATCTACCTGTTCAGACATCATACAACCCAGCTAGGTTTTGCACTGCCATCTATATAAATGGCTTAATTTCTCACCTAATTTCCTTTCAACTGGTATTTAATAAATAATAATAATTTTATTATTTATACCCTGCCCACCTGGCTGGGTTTCCCCAGCCACTCTTTGTTCATGCTTCTGCAAGCTTCATACTTAGCACCAAACCAGTCATTAATCCTGGTTCCATTTTCACTGCAGAGGGAACCTGGAATTCATTTTTATGCCTTAACATAAAATGGTCTGATTTTGCTTGGAAGCTTCTCCACGCAGAGGGCTCTTAATGTGTGGTGGTTCACCACGTGGACCATAATTTCTACAAGATTCATCTGCCAGGGATGTTTTGTGCCATTTTAAAACAGGCAGCATAGTGAGGTGGCTCATGCAAAGAACTGACCATACGGATGCAGTTTCATATGGATGCAGTTTCATGCAACTTCTGCTTGGTTGCCATTTTGTTGCTTAATTCTGTCCCCACCTGGCTTCATCTGTCTTCCTTGATGAAATAAAATAAATACTTGCTCAGGGAGGCAGACTAAATCAGCACCCCAGTTCTAAGACAAGGAAGGCAAATCTGACCTTCCACCATGGTTTCACCAGTGGTACTCATACTACGTAAGGCACTTATCGGCCATGAGCAGAAGCTGGCTAAAATCCTGAGTGTCATAGTTTTCACTTATGAATCAAAATCATAGTTAACAATGTTCAATGTCCATCTGTTAAGAAACCCAGATTCATTGCATCTTTCAGTTCTTATAGTTCCTATATCTGTAATGTTCAAAATCTCCTATTATAGGTTTGTAGTTTCCTGCATACAAATATTGTAGAATTAAGTGCATTGCATCTACCAGAAGTAGTTTGCCAGTTATCTTATACCTGGAAATGAGAGGCAAATTGTATTAAACATCTAAAATATATACAGCAGCTGCTAAACTGCTCTAAACCCCCAAGCAAATATTTTCGTCTGTACACTCAATAAAAACAAGCTAGTCATCTCTCTGGATAAGACAGCTGTTGTTGTCCAACTAGGCCTTGTGGCACACCAGGCAAGGTGTTAATGGGGTTAGATAAACTTAGGAAAACTAAAAACCTTTCTATAGTCAGAGTGTCATTTCACCACCCAGAAAATTCATGGTCCTTCCTGAGAGTTTAGACCATGTTGTGTCTCCACACAACTTACGTTAACCAGTACTTAGCTCTCATTATGCAGCCATGGCCTCTTCCCTGGAAATCTGTGGGCATCATAGTAAGTTTGCCAGTTTATGTGGCATTTTAAAGTAGCTGTGATCTTCACTAACACCTCTGTGCTGCATAGGAGAAAAGTGGTGGTCATGGTTTTGCTGCCTGTGGCAAGAGGTCAGCCTACAGTTTCTTGCAGTCTTAGCCATATTTTAAAGTGCTGCCTCAAATGTTCTGCTCTTTTCAAATAAGGGCTCAGCATTTCTGTTGCCTGCATGCACTTCACTGAAATGCCTACTTCCGTGCATGTTTCTAATTTACTGTCAACCATGTGCAGCTGTGACACACTTCATCAACTTCTTTGCTTATCAATAACCCAGGAAGAATGTTGTGTGTAGGCACATCTAGAACATGCCTCCAGCTCTTGGTGGTCCTCCTCTAATGGGACTTTGGTTGCTAATTGCTGAGACTTCCATTATTCTTTTTATCAGCACTTTGCACATTTTGGGTTTCTACAGCGATCAGAAATTAGTATATTTGACCATTTTGAGGCATCTCTTGAGGGGAAAAGACTTTTCCCCAACTGTTTTTCCAACTAAACATTCAGTCTACCAGTATGTCATTACTTGATTGTTCTGCCAGGCTGTGCAAACCCTGTGCGCATGTTACTCATGTGTAGAGAATGCATGCGTATGGACCAGAGCATTTTTTTTAAACATCCAGCTTTATTTTCAACAACCACACATAAAGTGTGGCTGTCGGTATAAGTAGGCCAACACCCAAGCACCTCCTCATGTGTAGAGCCTCCATGCAGTTAGGACGCCCAAACAGCCAGGTGTCCCAAAATGCACAAAGCCTTACAGACAAGGAGGCATGTTGGCCTTCCTGTGCAGACTCTGGCTGGGTTGCTGTTTTGGGGTTGTTGTCAGGGAAAGTTGTTGCTGTTGGTTCTATTTTAGATCCTGTGATTTATGTGGAAATTGTTCGGTTTGCTTGGGCATTTTACTATTTTGTTTGTCACTCCTTTTGTTACATTTTTTCATGTTGTAAGGCGCCTTGAGTATGGTCAGAACTGTGGAAAGGCAGCATACAAATAAAATTATGTATGTTTGTACTGACAACCACAATCAATGCACAGTTCTTAAAAATGCTCTGGTCTGTACTAGAGTATGCCTTACGCATGAGTAACATGTCCATGGAGCTGCAGGCAGCTGAATCATTTCACAAGACCAAGTCTATAGAAATCTTGTATTGAGCTGACCTTCTCTTGTGGCTCCATATTTAATAAATGTAGGTATAGTATTTAGGATCAAGTATAGGTAGCAGCTTCGGTCTGTTTTAAAAGGCTTAAGAGCAGAGTAATAGAATCTCATATGGAGACCACCAAAATTCCTTTCTCCATTAATTCCATTAATTCTCCATTAATAAACATTTGCATGTGCTGTTCTGCTTAAAGAATATTTACTTGTAAACCAACATGTACATGGCCACAAAGCACCAGCCTATATATCAGGCATGTCCAACCAGTAGATCATGATCTACCGGTAGATCCCTGGCTGATCCTGGTAGATTGCGAGATCATTCCCAAAAGCTCAACAGCTCTGCAATCCCCCCCCCCAAAAAAACTCAACAACTCTGGGCAACCCATCCCCTCCCACCCACCCCATGTACGCTCCTCCTCCCTCCAATGACAATGGGTAGATCACTGCCAGTTTGTTTTTTTATACTAGGAGTATATCGCAGTCTCTTGGGAGTTGGACGTGCCTGCTATATATGT